AACAATACGGGACAATGTCATTGCGGTCTGCGTTACAACACAAAGATATACAACGCAGCCAGCTTCCTTTACCTGCCCTACCTTGCTCCAGACCTGAAGCTTATATGATCTAGCTTTGTGCAATTGACAGGCGACCTGACAATCACACATCCAGACAGACAACCCCTTGCACTCACATTGACACCGTAACTGAGTGGTGACTGAATCCACACGACCCGCATGGAAGTCTCAAGAGTAAACCGATACATCATGACTGTTTCAAAACATCAAAACATTGAAACCTACACACAAAACATACAGTGATGCCTGTGAAAACACAGATCTGTCCCCGGCGCTGAGTATTTATATTAACATCGGCTGTGTGTTTTTATTAACGACATTGCTGTAAAAGTGCTCATGGAAAAACCAGCAATGATGTGCATGTTTAGTATAATACAATTCACCATGATGCAAAATCAGTGGGAGCTGATGGGACGAGAGTGGATTTGGAACATATGATTCTCCGGCAGTATTTTCCACTCTTTATTGAAAATCACAAAACTTGCTTCCTGGCTTGAGACCACAAAATAGACTCATCAGCTGGTTGCAGGTTCAACAGCTTCAAGACGCAATTAGCCGAAAATCAGATGCACTCAATTCAACAAAATTCTCGATGAATCGATTATTATTCGATGTAGCCGTAATTTCTGCCAGCAAAGTGTTGTTAGCCATTCCCTTCCTCTTTTCTGCGTCGTAATTGCAAATCAACCAACCAGTCTTCTCCCTTCATCTAAGCAAGCAATTTTTCCCCCCCGCTGACCTGACTACATGGTCCGCTGGGATCAAAGTGTGTGGAGATATCGGCTCTGCAGAAGTGAGGAAGGAAATGCTGAGAGCTTTTTGATGTAGTGCTATTTTTTTTTCACTAATAAGAAGAAAGTTTTCTATGATTGTGGAACACTCCGAACTTCAATCATTTGGAGTGAGGGCATTTTAGGTAGTTCTCAAAGATTTTTTTTTCCTATGCTTGTTCATTTAAATTTCTTAATTAAAATGCAACGCATTCCTGTGATCCTCTGGATTTGATGCTCCACTCTTACGCATCTCCCCTACCTGCCTCCCCTTCTCTCACACACTCCATCTGCTTTTGCCTTGGTGTGATCAACACAGGTTGACCTCTCGCTTGAAAAAAAGTACTCAGAATTTAATGGATTCAGTCTAATCTAACCAGTTCCCTCTTTATTGCTGTTTTGTACCCAGTGGACCTCGTCTTTGGCAGGCCGCCCCCTGCACACACACACACACGCACACACACACACACACACACACACACACACACACACACACACACACACACACACACACACACACCGAGAAAATTAGTTCATCAGAATTCAAAATGTACTGCTGGCTAATTAAAGGAGTGTTAATTGAGTGTTAAGAATCGAGCACCCCCTTCTCCAAATACACACACACACACACGCACGCACACACACAAACACACACGCAAGCAATCACAGTGACAGCACCGGGTACGCCAAGGACGTTGCGCTTGGGGGGCTTCGTGCCAATCAAAAATGGAGAGAAATGAGAGTGGCCATCCTCCCAGCGGAATGGCTTTTCCAGATCATATCACCGCCCCGCGCTGCCATGTTATCCCACGCCTGCTCTCGGTGCCTGTCTGACGGCCGCAGAGTAGAACGCTGCACAGATAGCCTCCCTCACCGCGTGCATCGTGCTAATGAGTGGTGGCATTTAGAGATGTGCTGCCCTGACACATGGGCATTGTGTGCCAGGCCCTGGATTATTAAGGACGAAGGTCAGCCCATTAATTGCCTCCCTGCCAGCTCAGCTCCCAGCACGTGATTGCTTCTAATAAAGGCATGTCTGCCTGCACTTTTAGCTCATCTATTCCGCAGTTCAATCATCTTCTTTGTTTATTTACATTTCTTTTAAAGTTGCTTACTCCTTGCTCAGGTTTGCCCTGTTCGTTAACTGGATGCTATTTCACGTGCTGGTGAATGCACCTCATCTCCGGAAGGGAAAAAGCATATTTTTGCATCCTCGGGGGAAATAATTAATCCTTACAAGGCTGTCGCGTGTCGAAATGAAGCGAGTGTGAAGCATTTAGCCCAGGAGGCATTGCAGGCTGTCGCCGGCACTGGCACCTGTTGTTGTCCCTGCCCTACATTTCATGAGAGAGGATAACAACATGCTTCACTGATGTCAAACGAGACACACAAGTGCAGATGCAGGTTGGTGTGTGCGGTGTTTGCGTGCCTTGTTTTTCGGCTTTCACGCGTGGTATTTGCATGCACAGGCGCGCCGAGGCGTGCGCACAGGTGCAGGAAAGCCCCGATCTTGCGAGAAGGTGAGGGCGCACACAAAGACGGTGCAAGCTGCCTCGGAGGATGTTTTATCTGCAAGCACCATCTGTACTCTATTCTGCTGCTCTTAGCGTGGATCTGCCGCAAACAAAACCAATAAGTCACACAGTAGAACAAACTTCCTGCTTCTGGAGAAACGAGATGTGCCGACATAAACTGTGCGCCGGCCTGTGCGCCGGCCAGCAAAATTACGGCCCATGCTAATTGTGATCAAGTTTGCGATAACATTTCTGCCATGCAACTTTAAAAAAAAAAAAAAAAGGATGTTGGAATCGGAAGCATCCAGATGCTCATCTGCCTCCCCACCTCCCCCCTCTTCTTCCTTTATGCCTGTGATTTCTAATAACCGGAAACCTTTGTGGAGCCGAGATGGGTTTTGTAGGCCTGAAAGGCCTCTAATCCCTGTGGCCTGTGAAGTGTGAAGGCCTTTGATGCCAGGTTGCTGTGCCAAAGTCCCTGCCTATTGACAAACAAGGGCCAGGCATGGAAGAGAAAGAGAGAGAGAGAGAGAGAGAGAGAGAGAGAGGGCTTTATGCTTTTGAAGAAATGCAAACTTGGTCATGTAAAATATGGACTCGCTCTGTGCGAAGGAAAATAATTAGCCACCTTTTAATAAATTTCTGGCTGGTTTTTTGAAAATAGATTTTTATCCTCTTCATGTGGCAGTAATTAGATGGAATGATGGGCATAATGCATCTGGGGGCTTGTCAGGGCGGCAGGACACAAGGCCCTTGATATGCCTGAAAGCCAAGAATCTTTCCTCATTTGGACCATGTGGTGATCAAAGATGGTCTTTTTTTTTTCCTCATGTAAAGCAGATCAGCAAAAAAATGCTGCCTTTTCCATTTGCATGTGGACCAGCGATGGGCTTTGAAATGAGCGTGTTTTTCCCTCTTCAGAGCAAAGCAAACAACTCTTGTCAGTTTTCCACTGTGAGTGAGCGCATCAAAGCGTCTGGCAGCGACGTCGCCGGGGAAGCCGAGCGGCGCCTCATCAAGGCTGGCGAGGTCGAAGCTTGGTGCGCTGAACTCCACCCCTTCGGATGGCACTATCTTTTCGTCCAATACACACATTTAGATTTATCATCAACATACGATTGAGCTAAGAAAGAACGACATCTAATTCTAGGAATTTTCAATTTGAGGGAGGAATGGCACCGCAATAGGTCATGCACTAAATTCAGCACAGGCTATTTGCAGCCATTCCCCTCTGTCGTTAAATTCCAAATTTATTTCTTTTATGATATGGATCTTGTCGATTTAATCATGTTCGCAGTTGGAGACCCATTGGGTTGTTGAAATTAACTCCCCGTGCTATCTGTATTGGAAGCCCAGAAATGAGGATGGAGGCTATTTGGCTGTGGAGTCTTTTTTTTTTTTAAATGATTTTGCAACTGGAAAGGAAATGGAGTGAGTCGTCGTCACAGTCTGCAACCTGGGCACACTCTTTAGGTTGCTGACAGCACAGTCATGACACTTGATGTGTGTGTGTGGGGGGGGGGGTGTGGGTGTGGGTGTGTGTGTGTGTATTTGGTTGCCTTTTGCATAAAATATATAAATTTACAAAGGTACCGCAAGTCATTTGTGGCAGCTGATGTATCGCTTGTAAATTGAGTTCTCCTCCCAACCCCCTCCACGCACATTTTCTGTTGCACTGAGCTAAGTAGCCATGAAATTGCCTGAATAATGTTGTTTAAATCCAATCTCAATGTGGCCCCTCACCTCCATGACCGGGCTCCCAACAATGACACATGAGTTGTTGGTTTTTTTTTTTTCTTCGAAATTGCCATTTTCCTGTTTGCCACCTTGAGCTTTGCCTCATTGAACAAGGGGCCATTGCTATTCACAGTCGCCGCCTTTGCTGCTGAATTGAATTTCTGGGATTGGGGAGTTTCATATTGCAAACACCACAGAGCATTTACTGTCGATGCTTTTGCATATTGTTGTTGTTCTAATTTGCAGTGGTGCAAAATTGGCAAAATATTTTGGTAACCCCGTTTAGTTTGTCTAAAATATTGGTGGCAGTTCTTAGTGTGTTGCAGAACCACTACAAGATACAAATCCTATTGCAATGAAGTGTTAAACGTAAATAAAAACAGAATTTGATGTAATTAACTTAGAATTGTATTATTTATTTATGTAACACAATGTTGTGGCCAGCGGGCACCTGAATGACACACCATCGATTTTAGAACTGGGCCTGTTCACACGTTGACTGAACCACTGACAATTCTCAAAAGTGCCATTCCAAATTAACAAGCTTTGATCCACTCCCCCCTTGCTTAGTATGCAAGGCTAACCTAATTCATTGCTAAAGAGAGCTTGAATTAATTTCACAATGCACAGATTTAACACCGCCTAAGGTTCCAGGCTTTTGACAGAATGAGTTTTAAAAAAAGATCCACTCGACAAGGGAGTTAAAATAAGATGGAAAGAAAGAAATCTCTAATGGAGGAACGCTGCAAAGGAATCCTGATTAGTACATGCAAATTATGTTTGTTTGTTTTTTTTGGGGGGGGGCGGTTTAGGTTGAAGGCATCTCTGGTTGTCCCCCCTAGACCGCGGTAGTCATTAAAAAGTGAAAACGGTCAACATGGAGTTGAATCTCATTCTTTCCTCTCTCTTTGACCCCCAGGTGACCCGGTGGTGCCTACACATTCCCCTCGCTACCCCACTGCAGCAGAACTTGATGCCTATGCTCAGAAGACAGCCAACAGCCCTCTGTCCATTAAGATCTTCCCGACCAACATCAGGGTTCCCCAGCACAAGCACCTTAACCGGACTGTAAATGGATATGACACCACTGGCCAGCGCTACAGCCCCTATCCACACTTCCACACGGGGGGCTACCATGGCCTGCTTGCCATTGTCAAGTCCTCTTCCTCCCCCTCATCATCATCAACCTCCACCTTCATCTCGTCAAAAGGTGTTCTGAAGAACTCCGAAGGCAGACGGACTAAGCTCTCTCCAGCCCACATTGCCCCATACCCACCTAGCAGTAGCACTTTAGTCACCGGCCCCAGCCAGATGGGATATCAAACTGGGCCCACAAAGCCTCCAGAGGGCCCTGGGTTGTCAGTCCCCCCCAACGTCACCGTCGCTGGCTCGGTGATTCCTGTGGCGGGGGGGCGTGGCCTGGCTCTCCCCCCACAGTCCAACCTCCCTTCTATCCAGAGCATCATTTACCAGATCAACCAGCATTGCCAAGCCCAGGCTCTGCAGCAGGTGTGTCAAGGGGCAGCACCCTCCAATTCCAGTCCCTCCAAGCAGGGGACCACTGTCATGGGGGTCTCCTCGAGCTCTTCAGGTGGAGGTTACGTGGTGGGAATCGGCCCACAGGCCAACATGGTGTACACGGGTCCAGGGTTGCCGCCTCCAAACGCGGAAGCGGCCAAGAGCGGGGTTTACGCGGACGGTATGGACTACATCCTCTGGCAGAAGCAGCAGCAGCAGCAGCAGCAACAGCAGCAGCAGCAGCAGCAGCAACAACAGGCAGTGCTACGAATGTACAGCGGGGGCAGCGGAGGGGGAGGGGCCGTCAGCAAGTCCCCCGAAAGCTGCATTCCTGTCGGAGGGATCATGGCGGGGCAAGTCTCCTCGTCCTCATCCAGACCTTACCACCTGACGGCGAGCGCTAGCGGCGGAGGCGGGCTGGAAAAAGTCAGCTCCTCCCCATTGAACTGCATGGGCATGCATGGGAATTTCTCGGTGGGTCAGTACTTTGCCCCCCCATGGAACAGTGTCCTGGTGACACCTGATAGTGACTGCTACAACCCCCAGGAGCTTCTGGTCCCCTCCACAGGCGGGTCGGCCACGGGCCACCGAGAAGTGGGCTACCCACACCATCCCTATCACCACCACCACCACCACCACCATCATCATCACCCCGGCATCGACAGCGGAGGTCGTCTGTGTTGCAGCTTGCCCAGCAAGAGTTTGTGCAACACGTCTGTGTTGAGCAGCAGCTTGCAGTCTCTGGAATACCTGATCAACGACATCCACCCACCGTGCATAAAGGAGCAAATGCTGGGCAAAGGCTACGAGACTGTGTCGGTGCCACGTCTGTTGGACCACCAGCACGCGCACATCCGCCTCCCCGTTTACAGATAGAGGCGCGACGGAATCACAAGAAATCAAGTTGTGAATTTGTAAAGAGCATCGAAAAAGTCAAAAGGACAGATCCGGTTGCGTGCGGGTGAAGATTTGCTTTAACGGGTGTGTGAGCTTCGAAGGAAGAGCTGTTGTTATGTTGTGTGATCCAATCTATGGTGGTTTCAAGCCAGGCTCTGAGAATTCCAAATAAGAAAAGGCAGTAGTAATTGCAAGTGGGGGAGGGAGAAAAGGGATTTCACGATTCTCCCGATTGTGCAGTTTGCCAATAGGAATTTTGCATTGATATATTTGTCTTTCTGTTTCCGTTTGTTTTGCTGATCTTTTACTTGCCTGAACTTTTGACGTTTTTCTCTCTCTCTCTCTCTCTCTCTCTCTCTCTCTCTTTTATTTTTTTCTTCATAGCTTGACATGAAGTGCATATGCCACTCATACCCCCACTTCAAATACTAAGACTGAAGCTACTGTGTAGGTTGTCACTGAAATAAGTGGTCTTCAGAGGACCAAAGTTTAGGGCTGCTCTCAACATCCAAATCCACATGCAGATGGATGAAGACAGACTCAGTGAAATTATAGCCAGGACTCTCTCTCGTGTTCTGCACAAGAATCATCAAGTCCGATTAGGAAAGGATAGTACATGATTATTGCTGTTATAATTGATACATAAATTGCACTGCTTGAATCTTGTTCTCTTTGAAGTTTGGAATTGGGTAGTTTGGATATGATATATTTAAGAAACTTGAAAAACTTGAACCTATTTTATGTTGTTTTATATATTTGTAGGTATATTATATGCATTGGCTGCTACGAGAGGGGGAGAAATGTCTGATGCGTTGTTCTTTCCACTTGGTTCTTATGATTTAAATCTTCCTTTTCAAGCAAAGTAGCAGTTTCTTATGTCCTGTTTTGAGGCATCATCACTGCTTTGGTTCTGTAAGAACCTGATTTGTGAGAGCTTGTTTTCCAAACCAACACTGGAATCAACAGGGTGGGTGAAAAGGAATAGGCATTAAAAAAAAAAAAATCATATGATCAATATTGTAATTAGATGTTTTGTTTTTAAATCAGATGACACGCTTTATTAAATGACAAAATGAAAGAAGGTCAGACATCAACAGGCAGTAAGTAAAGGTAGCATCAGTTACAACAAACCAACAGACAGTCAAGTAACTGGAAAATAAATCAAGACAACGGGGAAATAACACAATACGAAATCCCCATTAAGTGTTGCCTGTTGGAAAAAAATGGTTTCAAAACAACCTTAGCGATACTGTACTTCAAAATTCCAAAAGTTATTTCTAATGCCTCGTCACTTGTCACCCACCCTGCGCCATGACGAAGGAGTTATTAGGCCCGCTGAGAAAAGAAAATAATTCCACTATGAGAATAAAGTTAGAATGTTGTGAGAACATAATGTTACCAAAACAGCATTACCATCATTACTCTTATTATTTTCAGTTGTCGACCATTTATGATACAACCTGAATACTATGGCGGGGCTTCACTGTGAGACAGTGACACAGGAGCTTTCATATTCCCTCATCAAAAACAATGACTTTTTTTTTTTTATTTAAATGTATTTAATGTTCCTACTTTCTTAAGTTAATTCTTTTGTTGAGACAATATAAATATTTATCTTCACGAATAACTTTTTTCTCATAATTTTCCTTTTCCTTTCGGTGTCTTCCTAATACTCCTTCATAACGATAAATCTTGAAACACTTATTTAAAAAGAACATAAGACACAGAGAAAGAAAAAAAATGTGAATTGCGAGGTTGTCGACATAACGATAAATGTACGTGTGCTCAACGCGTGTGTGCGGTGTGTGTGTGTGTGTGTGTGTGTGTGTGTGTGTGTGTGTGCATTCTAGCTCTTCAAAAGCCTCAGACTTTGCATTTTCCCATGTGTCATTTGAAGATTTCGACCACCGTACCCATAAAATCATATCTGAGTAATGTACAGGAATTCTTTTGCTGATCTCGCTTCCTATTTCATGGAGGACTTAGCGCCTTCAATACGTGTAACTGTCACATCTGCCTTCGTTGTCAGGTGTCATCATAGCGATAGAGGAAGCTGGGATAGCAGTGAGTCCTACTTTGGGAGATACGATTCAGTTCTCTTGCAAATACAAAATGAAAACAATCGTTTGCTCACCTCTGCCATCAGATAAAATGGGACAAGGGTCGTTGCTTTTCCGTGTTCGTTTTTAGGCCTCTGTTTGGGATGTACGTATTTAGCCCGGCCCAGTCTTAACTAGATGATTCAGAGTGGTGAAATATTTATTATGACTGTGAGATTCCCTTGAATGTACTGCACTTAAATTACTGCGATGTGTTATTGCCTTGTGGGATTCAAGTGAAAGAGAAAAATTGGATCAGTGCAGCAGACCTGTGGTCTTGATTAGCATTTCTTTTGTCAGTGGAATTTCAATGCTAAATTCAATTTATTAAATAAAGCGAGAGCCAGAGCTTTGTTGAGGGGAAATACTGGCATCAGTCTAGATTTATGAAGTGCAATTATAATGACTGTATGAACATTTTTTTTTCTCTGAGCTTACACCAAAAAAAAAAATGTAAACTACAGTTGTCAATACATTCCCAATGTACCACATCCCTATTCCCTATCCCCTTTTTTTTTGTTTGTTTTGTTTTGAGGTGTAAAATAAATTTCTTTAAGAATATATCCAGAGGCCACGTTTTGGCTTTGACGTCTGTCATTATTTTCTAAACCTAGATGTCCTTTAGATGTCAGCGGGAGGTTGGACCCTGTGGGACCTCAAGCAGAGGCTTGACGGGTGATGTTGAACCTTTGCTGTCAAGGAGAAGGATAAAAAAAAAAAAAAAACTTTTTAAGTTCTCTTCTTTAATCCTGACAGGTTCTAAATGCTGTACTTAAAAAAAGCAATTCAACAAAAATGTTGAATCCTGACAATATGATGGATCCTCTTCTTCCCCGAATCAAAAAATAAGTGAGTCCTTATTTGAACTTTGACGGCCGACCTAAATCTTGACTATGAGCCTTAAAATGTGACTTGCTGGTGATTATAGACCCTCCACCGTCATTGAAGTCCCGATGGCCTCAAGAACACAAGCCTCCTCAACATTCCCCCAAAAAAAGATAAGTGTTGTTCTTTCAAGAGCTTAATGCCCCAGCTGCGATCCGATTCTGCCATATTTTCTATCTTGTAGAAATATTTTGATAGATTTACAGATACATCCCTTCCCTAAATCCCCTCCGTTTGGCTTCTGCATCCAAGCATTAAACCCTGTCACATGACGTTGAAGTCAAGAGGCAACACTTGAGGCGGCGGAGATTCTGGTGTCTGGCCTTTCCCACCAGTGGAGGTCTGGGGCAGCCGTCCTTTCAGCTAATGAGAGTATTGGGTGACAGTACCAGTGGAGAGTATTCAGTTGACACACAGGGGTGAAATCAAAACCCTTTTCAAATAGGAATGGATTTCCTGTAAGGTACAGAGAGGACTCCAATAATTAGAGAGACAAGACTTTGTCAATTCACGTTGCATTCATATTGAAAGCAAGTAGTTATGTGGCGTCATTTTGAAGCTAGTATTTGTCCCAGACTCCACAAACGAGGTCCTTTTGATGAGATGCATCTTGGCCACGCTGTAACCCGGCTTCCCAATTTGGACAATGTATGCTTGAGGCCATATTAGGATAATAGAATTAAATTTCAAATTGATTTGTGCCTGAGCTGATCCATGCATGCGGCTCACTCGGCTGCAGAGGCAGAGTGGCATATGGCATGTCATTATCCGCCCCCCCCCCACCCGCCCGTCCAAGGCCAACAGGGTTCAGCAGTACTTAAAACAAACTGAAGGTTATGACTGCTCGCCATTGAAAGGGAGGACGGCGGGGTCTCGGGTGGGAGAGATGGTAGTGGGGGCGGCGGCTAAAGCCCAGTCTCCACCGCGTCTCAGAGGGCCTCAGCGGCGCACCATGGCGCCCGGGCTCATCGGCCCGCTTTGAAAGCCGGCTGTGTTTGATCGGGGCGGGGGGATTTGTTTTCTGTTGGATTATACATGGTTGCTCCCCGCTTGGCTGAGGGGGCCCTGTGCAATGTGACAGATCTCGGAGCGGAGCGAGATACAGGGAGGGATTTGGGGGTGGGGGGGGTCAGAAAAGCCTCGAAGCATCAGTAATCAGGATAATTGCCATGTTCCTGCATGGTGCCGCTATCTGATGCCCCTCTTTCGCTCAGCTCGGCGGCCTCATATTCAAATTCAACCTCCATTGAAATCATGCTGAAAGACATATTGTGCCTCCATGTATCACATTCTAGTAAATCAATTAAGTTTTAAATGCTGGAAGCCAATTACGGTGCCCAGGAAAGGACAGATGTGAGCACCATGTGAATGAGGACATTTAGATCTATAAAACTTATCGACTGCTAACCTGTTTTCAAGTGCAGCGAGACGCTCGCCGGTATGGCCTGAGGGCAACGTGGAGAGAAATTGACTTTCGCTGCTTGTAAAAGATCCTTTTGTAAATCCCATGAAGACCTTTAGTTGGTGCAAAGGTCCTGCTGTATTTTATCCACCTGAGAGGGAAGCGGGGCCAGTTAAAAACAAGGGGCCATAAGGGGCGCAGCGTTGAAGAAAACAATGGCAGCTGCTCACTCTGTAGAGTCTTGGCGCTGTTTCTCGAGCTTACGCATGGTAAAGTGTGTGTTTGTCGTGTGTGTGTGTGTGTGTGTGTGTGTGTGTGTGTGTGTGTGTGTGTGTGTGTGTGTGTGTGTGTGTGCGGGGGGGGAGGGGGGGGGTAAGAACTTGGGCCTCCAGGGCGCCTTCCTAACGCCCCCTCTCAATGGCTATTATTGGCAGAGGCAGATAATGTCACAGGGCCGCTCCCACCAACAAGCAAGAAAATATTCAAATCAATAATTCACATTCTTGTATGGCAAAATATGTTCACCCCCTCCAGTATGATTTACATTTTTTTCTTTCTCCATGAGCTATACAATGTACAATCATAGATGAGCACATCAATCACGAACTCGCTTCGAAAGCCCATCCAGCAGGGGCTTAGGCCGTTCTATATCTTGAGCATCAAAACGATATCGGTTCAGCTGAAGAAGCTTATTGCCTCCAAATATTCTGATGTAGATGTCTATATCCAATTCAAATATTAAAGTCTGGGGATTTTGCTTTTTCCTCCGGTTTCCTTTATTGTTTGTGTGCAATGTTCCTATGGGCAAACAGGGCTGTTTTCTTTCCCGGATGATCTGAAATGCACCAACAATGTCCAAGTCTGAGGGTACGGCAACCTTGAGAAAATAATATATATGGAAATGGGGAAATATAGAAAGCATCTCTCTTATTGTTCTCCCTGCAGTGATGTATTTATGTTTGTGTCTCCTCAGGATGAAAACATGTAAAAGAATACTCCACTATTTTGGAAGTGATATATCTTGGACAAAATAAAAGGTGTTAATAATAAAGAAATCTGTAAAAAAAAAAAAAAAGAAAAAAAAAATTGTTGCAGGGGTGTTTCAACTTTTCAATGTGCCTATACAGCCAAGCATCCCAATGATTGCTTACCTTCTTTCCTCCCGCAGTTGTGCAATTTCCTCCTAATCTCCCCACAAGCGTCATCTTGGATTTGCTCAAACTGCCACACAGTCCCCCCCCCCCCGCCGCCCTCCATCGCAGCGACGTGCTCTGCCCCCTGCTTTTTGTCAATCTCAGGACTGAAATGTAGGAGTTGTAGAAGTTTGCTATTCATTTGGACCTCTTCTCCTCTCTTATGTATGATTGCTTGACATAAGTGAATAAAGCAAATGACTTCTATGTGGGCCCCTTCTGTCGCTCTGCTTCGTCGAGACCCCGCACTCTTGCTTTGCTATCTGTACAGTCATGAAGGTAAGCATATTAGTCTTAGTTAGAACACACATCTCCACCATATGTTGTTCTCCGAAATCCTGCTCTTCACATGACCTTTTGAACCTTTGTTGGTTACGGTATCCTCAAAGGTTTATGACCACTTGAAGGACACGCCGTTTTAATTTCACAGGCAGAAGGCACATCCATCCTCTTTGTTTGAGCTTGCATGAAGATTTGGTGACAGTATTCTTAGCACTGAGGCCAAAAAAAGCGACATCACGTTAGTCTTTTGTGGTCAAGATAAAGTGCGCACACAGCTCTCTTCAATAGCAGGTAATTGTAACTCTTAAAATCTCAATTGTCACAAATCATAGCAGAGTTCTCCAACCGTATGAAACAAGAAAACAGATACAAGGGCTGCTTCCTTTTCTTTTCTTTTGCAAAAAGAGATGACATGTTCAAGTACACCCAACCCTGCTCTTATTTAGTGATGCTTGATGACTCAAGAAAGTGGCATTAGCCAATATAAGAAGTTATCATAGAGCTATTCATGAAAAATATTGGCCAATAAAAGCAACTTGTTAATGAGCATAATCTAGATTTCTGATCCGGATATATATAAAATATATACAGTAATTAAACTGCACATAGTTCACAAACATTTCATGGAAAGAAACAACGCTTCCTGTTTAAACAACACAGGCACATTCAAGAACTATTAATATTAATGATATTTTCCCCTCTTTTGTCACCTCACTCACAAGTTCTCCACCCACCTAAAAACATTTGATAAACTGGAGACTGATGAGGGCGCCTCCTCCACCAGAGCGTGCATTACTGGGAGACTGCACACTGATTTCATGCACGCTCACTCGGACAGAAAAAAAGAGCTCTGTGGAGCAGAAATGCTTCTCTTATTAGCAAAACTCATTCACCTGCACGCCACATTGACTCGCTGGCAATTTAACAATAAATCATGAGCAATGCCGATGGAGGCCCGGCAGTCGACTGCCCTCGCCTGTCACTTTAGGCACCCTGAAACATTTTGGGTTCAGTGACCTCGTTTCATCTGCCGAACTAAAAGGTCATCCAACAGGCTACGCAAGCAATATGTCTGTGGCTCATCGTCTCCCAGTGCTCCCTGTGATTGCTCATTCAATTTAGAAATACTGCACCTTGGTGTAATATTTCACCGGGGATCATGGGAAGTATTTCGTGCAATTATTTCAGCAAAGAGAAAATTAAACCTCGAGCTGCTCTGGGAGTTGTCTCCTTCCTTTTTGAGTTGAGTGCAGGATTCTGGTGCTCAGACTGAAAATTGCACTGGACGAGCTGAGCGGTCAGCAACATCACGCCGTGCATAAATGAGTTGGCTAAATCCCAGCAAAGAATCTGTGTGCTACTTATCAGCCTAAACACCTTAAAGCTTTGCTAGCTGGACAATGGCTGAACATTTTGTGCTGCCAGTTGCTGAGCTTACAACAGCTTTCCCTCATTTGCAGTTTGAGAGTTTGCCCCGCAGTGAAGTGAACATGATTCTCCACTACAGTATTGGTTGACACACATTTCTCACGGCAAGCACACATTTGTAAACTGCCCGCATTTCCTGTGCAAGTGTGCATCTCCAGAGTTGCTGACAGTGATACTTGCAGGACCGAGGCCTGGCCTACTTAAGGGGCTGCAGAGAGGAGGGCAGGCCAACTTGTCAGCAGCACTAGGTGCTTGCTGCTTAGATAAACCTGCAGGATTAGTGGCCCAGTTAAAGTTGGGGCAAAGAGGATTAGCCTCTTCTCTTCTGAGGTGGCAAGAGATTCCCTGCATGTCCTTCAGCACTGCTGGCCAAGGGAGATGAGAGCAAGTGGTGGGGGGGTTGAGGGCTCCAGGTTGTGCCCCTATTGTTATCTGAGTGAGAATCACCTTTGTCGCGTCATGTTTAAAAAAAAAGAAGGAAAAGGTGAGGAATAGTAATTAAAGGTGAAATGCACTGAATGGTTTCCGTCGAGTGCTTTCATTAAGAAGGCAAAAGCCGGTAATTACCGGCCAGGTGTGACAGCGAGGTCAGCCACGGGTTGGCAGAAAACTATTTAGGAGGTGTGTGCATCCTTTTAGGAATTATTCGTCATTATAAAAAAGAAGAATATGCAGTGAAATATCATATTTACAGACGAGATTGGAAACGAACACTCAACATCCTGCTGTCATTTCATCGCGTAAGTCCTCGTGCCAAGTGCCACATGACAGCCCTCTGCTGCCGCCAGCAGGCGATCAACAAGAACAGCAGAAACCCTCAAATGACAAAAGGAAACTTCACGAAATGGGAAGCTGAACCTTCATTTTATTTGATAGGGCAATTCGGTAGCTTTGAGACGTCACCATTTTTATTCAGTTAAAATAATTAATTCTTTCACTATTATCCAGCCGTTTTCTACAGTGGTTGTACACATTAGGTTCTCATTAGATCATCATGTCCTTTGCTTTACTCTGTTGTCTGCAGCCAGGGTGGCATTGCAAATAGCAATCTTTTTATGAATTACTTGGATAAGTAAAGTTTCAAGAAAATAAATACGTAAATAAATTAGGCTGGGGTGTGAGCTGCAGCCTAGCCCAGCTGACTTTGGGCAAGAAGCGGCGTACGCTATGGACTGGTTGAGAGCCAATCGGCAAACATATATGCAGACAAACAAGCATGCACTCTCACAATTGCACCTATGTACAATTTAGTCTTCGATGAACCTAATATCTATGTTTTTGGAGTGCAAGAGGAAGCCGGAGAAAACCCACGCAAGCACAGGAAGAACGTGTAAATTCTACACAGGAAGGCCGGAGCCAAGAGTCAAACCATGAACTTCAAAACTGTGAGGTGGACGTGCTTACCAACCACAAGTCATCATCATTACTTTCAGGGAGAAACTGTTCTACCACCTTTTACCATACTGTGCTGTATTGACTTTAACAGTGTGTTACGGATACTGTAGAACAAAGAATATACAAAATACACAAACCTCTCTCTGTTTATTGTTTTCTTTTGTTTTGGGGGTTTTTGTGACCACTGATCAACTGTACGCAAAATATTCATAACAAGAATGTAAACATAGTGAAATGTGACCTGTGACCTTCAGGTGTGAAGCATTCAATGAAAACGAACACTCTCTCCATACCTCTTTAACTGTTCCAATTAAAGCGCAATAACTCAAATATGAATATGCATTACATGCAGCATATACACATAAGTAGGAAGCACAAAAACAAGATGTCGCACAGGGCAAGGAGCCAAATCCGGTGAACATACTCGAGAAAATACAGGCGAGGCCTTCGCGTCGATTATGCAAATTTCCCGCAGCTGCGAGGAGCATAATAACTCTAAGACAAACCATAACACGTGAAACTATTGTCTACGACTTGCTTGACAATTGTAACCTTGCTCATCAGGCCCGTTTTTGCAGAACAATGTCTATGTTTTGCGACAATAATACAGTTATTGAATGAGCACAGTGCATTGTTTAGCTCCGATAAAAGATTCCGGCCTTAGCAGCAGCCGAGGCTTAAGACTAGTTTTAAAAAATATATTGTTAATACCAGACAGAAATCACTAACATAACCCTAGCAAACACTCACAATCCTAAACTAGAAAAATATTTATTGATGTGTTTTCATCCTACTGAGAATGTCTCGTTCGAGATCTGAATCACTCTTTGCACTGTTTGCATCATGATTCAGTAATCATGATTCTGGAGGACTCAATTATGGGAATACAATATTCTGACCGTGTCAAGTCCCTGAGTAAAATTTTTATGATGTTTTGTGACATATATTCCAGCCAAAGTAGGTCATTAATATTCTTGATTTTCTCCATAAATAGCGGTTTATTGGACATGTTGCACATCCATTGTCCAATTTATCCATTTATAAGGGCACCTCATAATCCCTTTGGATTTCGAGAAATAATATTTCCAATTCGGTCCCATGAATAAAAGGCACATGCGAGATGTGCACTGAAACGGTTGATCTCCTTCATGGACACAAATCTCTCGTTGTCTTGTAACTAAGATGATAGCCTTAGTCGTCTGTTCCCGTCAATGCCTGGACGTAAGGGGCTCCATCTCTATCACGAGATCGCGAGGCCGCGGACCCCGACTTAACTCCACCACCCGTGGGACCACGGTGGACCAGCGGTCTGAAGTGGGACACACAAAAAATGGGCTTGTTTTCCTCTGTAATGAATCGCAGGGTGGTGTGGAATGTGTTTGAGGGCCATGCCACCAAATCAGTACCATTTGCATCCCCGGGAAATGTCAAGTTATGATAAACGCATGTTAAAATTATCAGTAAAATACATTTTTAAACATATATTTTTATTTACACTTGCCTGTCCCTGCTTCCTATTTGTATTATGCCTAACACCAACTATACTGTAAGATTATAGTCTTGCAAAATATGTGTATTTAGTTTAAATTTACACTAGTCAGGAAAATCTCAGGAGAATTTGTAATATTCTACAAGTCAAATGCTCCACAGGAAGTTGCTCATAATTTAGGCCTTGTCGAGTTGTAAAATAGAGTAGTCGAAGACCCAGTGTAAACAGAACAAAGACATGTCGAGCATATTTGCTGAATGGCAGCCGCAGATTTATATATTATTTTTTGTTTGGTATTTTTTTTCAATATTTATTTCGTATTTGGGATTTGTTTTTTTGGGGGGAGGGTGATTTTTTCCCCCATCACCACCCCTGTTTACCACCTGCCCTCATATCAGCGTTTTTTTTAGAATTTTTTTTGGGAGGTGGGGGGTAAAAATAATAATTTTAAAAATTATTATTATTATGATGATTATCATAATATTCATATATAATATTATAATAATAATAATAATAATATAATATGATGATTATCATAATAATCATCATAATAATAATTTTTAAATTAAATACCAGGAAAAAAAGCGTTTGTGTTCTGGGGGAAAATTATTTAAGTGGCCCCTAAGTGTGTGAGTGTGGCTGCAGGTGGCCCATGGGCCACCAGTTGCCGAGCTATGAGACCAAAATCTCTCAACTCTTGGCACCTTCCGGGGACCGAAATGATTTATTTGATGTTAATCGTTCATTTTTACAATGCCGTATGTTTTTTTTTTTTTTGTAATCACTGTAAGCTAAGGTGCTTATCATCAACGTACAAAACGCCATGTGCCTGTATTTCATGTTACTTTCAGTACTGTTTCTCAAATGGTGAGTTACAGTACAATAAACTAATGATAAAAGGTTGCCTGAGATGGACCAAAACACATTGTGAATAATTCAATGTGTCTATTATTAGAAGACAGAAATTTCAGTTGATGTTAAAAGAGTTACAAGAAGCAAATGGCACCCATTCTGTCAGAAGGCGCAAGTGCATTCATATTCATGAAGTGCAGCAAGACTCTCACCCCTCCTCAAGCCTCTGACACTTTGTTGCAGGCCGTTGGCCTGGCAGGTCTCATTCTTGCCTGGGTCTTCATTGATTATTGCCAAGTTTTGATTCCAGTGGCACCAGTTCACCTCATCCACTCTGTTGAAACATGGCATGAGGGCTTTGTAAGCTTTGGTTTTGAAACTTCCTATTTGCAGTTTGTACAACGTTTATCCACAGTTTGCATTTGGTGTATCTTTTAAGTGGATTCATAATTCATATCCCTGATTTGATCAGAGAACTTTGATCACAAGGTTTTGCCCAAATCTAATGAATCGACAATGTTCGAGCCAACCGTAAATTTGGAGCATGGATATACCAATATATATATATATATATATATATATATATATCTGTTCAATAAATAAAATTCCACTAAAATATTGAGTTGAACTCTAGGCATCGGAACACATTTAGTGTTGTTAGCGACAACAGAACATCCGGATCTGGGTGAAACTTAACCTCCTATATCAGGGGTGTCAAACTCATTTCACATTGTGGGCCGCATATGGCCTCGGTAGATGTCAAGTGGGCCGCACCATTAAAATTATACCATACTCTGCTATAAATAACCAAAATATCATGTCTTTCCTTTGTTTTGGGAAAGTGAAGCACAAGAACATGAGGAAAATGTTGACATTTAATGAACATATCTTTTACCTAACATTTCATGAAACACTTTAGATTTCCTTCGACAAATGTGTAATTTACTTTTATCATTCACAAATATGCATTGCAACTGATCCCACTGATTGTACAAAGGCACAAAACTTTAACAAGTAATTGGCATTGAAAAATATAGTCATGCATTTTAAGATTAAACGAGATTTATACAGAAAGTATTTTTTAAACCATTTACACATGTGCATATAAAATCGAAATGTAATCCCTGCCTACACTTGACAAACTAAAGAGAAAACAGTGTGCCCCCGAGCGGATAATCTACAAATGGCATCTTATTAAAAAATATTCATTCCGTGTCTTTTATGCATTTTTACATTTTTAAATTATCCTGAGGGCCTGATCAAACCTCCTCGGGGGCCGGTTCCAGCCCCGGGCCGTATGTTTGACACCTCAGTCCTGTATTGTAGATTGTAGCATATGCACACGCAGATGTCAGGTAGTATTAATGTGAATACAAAAGTGCAATACTGCAATTGTATAAATGAAGTCACAGATGTGGTTAAAAAACCCATCGGTGGTAAAGACTCAAGGGTGGATGAGATCCACACACACCGGTGCTGCCATGGACTTGAGGCACTGTGAAATGAAGTGTCATTTTGGGACACACCACTTCAATGCCAAATGCTGATTTGTCAGTCATGGGCCTGTCAAATTGTCATGACTTTTCTCACCCTCGCAGACCTCTGATACTTGGACTACAATGCCACATTACTGGGGTTGTTCCCTTAAAGGTAGCTCTTTTGTACCCGTGACCTTTAAAGCGTGGGAACAAATCTGGACATTTTGCAGTTACAAATGATCTTGGAGTCTAATTAGCTGCACGAGCACTTCTGCCTTAATGGAAACAAATTCTACTACATTAACTTGACTTCTGATCGCGTACGTGGTTCATGACCTAGTAAGAACACTCACATTTCTACAAGGACAGAAAAATGAAACGTACCTGAAGCACCATCGTCGGTCAGGTGTTCCATCCCAATTCTTGCCTACAGTAACCATCTCGCCTACTCGAAATGACTTGCGAATACAAAGTGGGAAAGAGCGTTCGATGTCCAAGATGGTGGTTGCCCACTGCAAATGGACATTATTATATAAGACTTTTTGTTTCTTTTAGTAAAATACCTCGTAATGAAAAATCTGAAGACAACAAAATTGTTTCAGTACTTTACAAAACTTTTTTTCCTATAGCATCCATTTCAACATTTACATTTATTACCACTATATTGATGATGATATAGTCTTACACTATGCATAACATATTTACCTTTATATGCTGATTAAGTGAGAACATGTTCTGGAGTGAGGCATGTGATGTCCATTTTAACTCATTTGTCTGTCACAAAATATGATTCCATTCAAAATGAAGGGCTAAATTTACTTCATTAACTTATGATGAAGCCCGCTGACAGATGAGTCAGAACATGACCAAAAAAAAAAAAAAAAAATGGAACAACAGAAGGTAAAAGTCAAGTTGCAGTCTGTGTGACTGCAGCTAACCGTGTGTTGTTATTTTTAAGTTGAAGTTTTACGTCTTTCAGAGTTTTCATTGGATTCGATGTTTTTACATGAGGAAGAACCAACTGACCTGCAGCTTCCAGATCTTTTTGCTCTCCTTGGACACCTGGCCCACCGTTTCCCCCATCAAGGCGATCAACATGTTGAGCAGCAGCACAAAGGTGAGGATGATGTAAGTCACTAACAGAACGAGGAAAACTGCAGGGTACTGAGCACTGTGGATCATGTCCAACTCTCCCATCCCGATGGTCAGTTTAAAGAGGTCCAGTAAGAAGATACTGAAGGTGTCATGGTCCCTGCACTTGGGGTACGTCGGGCAGTCTCCATCACAGTCCGTGCCCGGGGGTGGACACACGGTGAGGAGGGATACCAGAGCTACACAGGGTTAGAATTAGTCACGCCATGTTTTCCTATGTCAAGTATGAATAAAACTACAGTACTCAACAGACATTCTCATAAATGCCCATGTACTGTACAACCTAATGAGAATAATAATGATGAATGTGCTTTACTTGGCAATAGAAGCACTGCATTAATTTAACATTATGTTCGAAAATGGTTCTAGATGGAATATGGAGGAGGTTCTAATTTAAAAGGCTGGTGATCCCGAAGAATGAACGAAAACTAAATGTGTGTGCAAAATGGATGTTTGGAAGACTCCAACGGTTATTCTTTGAGGTTTATGCTCATCTTACCTGACGCGTAGCCAATCATGAAAAGTACGTACACCAGTAGAAACCTGAACAGGTCTTTGAAAAGAATCTGGGGATCAAATACAAACACGTCTAAGTTGCAAGGCCATTTGAGGTTTGATGACTACTTGAGTTTCTCTGCGCGGTGTCCACCTTCTGTATCATGATGCTGTAGGTACCAGTGAGCTTGAGGCCTCTGGTGAAGTAAAGTGTGTTCATCCAGCCCAGGACAAGAGCAAAGACCATCACTGACACGTAAGCCTCAATGCCAGACAAGTAGAGAGCAGCTGTGACGATGATCAGTATCGAGTAGATGAAACTAAAAGACACAGGGGGGAAAAAAAAAAAAAGAGCGTCAAGTATAGCGCTTGTAGTAATAAAGTCTGCCACGCCGCGCAGAAACACATTCTTGGCATATCAACAAATGTACAAAGGTGTTGAACATTCAGTACCCTTTGTTTTAATCATGGCTTTAATTAAAGATGTAAACTAGAAAACATGGCAGGGAGGAGATAAACTAGACCATTCAATTAAGACGAAGCGGAATATGCCGCGGGTAAAAATTCACAAGATGTGAGGAAGAGTCATGTGTGGGAGGTAGTGTGAGACTTACTACAGCAGTTGAAAGGATCCATCAATAAATAACGACTTCACCCCAGGGCATTTCTTCAAGAAGAGGTCCTTAATCTGCAATGAGATGTACACACATTTCCATAAATGCAACAACAAACACTCATTAAAGACACAAGTGAGTAACCGGCCATTAAATATTTGATTTGAACTCACGTTGGTGAGGAGGAAGAAGATACCGGATGCTAATGTAATGACCTCTCCTGCCATCCGCAAGTAGTCGCTGGATGTTGTATAAGGGTACGGGGGCTGCAAAACAAACAGGATGATTAGCAAACTATTCAGATGCTATCAAGGAGACTAAAATATTAATATTAGGTGCACCGACATAATCTTATGAGATATAATTATATTGTACTGCATATACTGCATTGAAAAACATTATACAATGATAATGTACAGTATATTGGAGGTTTATCACCGTTTTTTTGTAGATTTTTTTTTTCCAATGCATTTCAATGGGAGTCAATTATACGCAAAATTTCACTAATCGCAGGCTGGTCTCGTTCTTATTCTTACACGCTAGTTATAATATCATCATTCATCATTTGATGGCAGACATGGCTTAGTTGTGCTTGCACCAGGTCTTATATTGCCCTAAACAACAATGTGAGTAGGTCACATACTGTAATTTTTGGCGGATTTGGAATGACAACGCAGGACAAACATAGTAAATTCTGGATGAGTTAATTTTTTTTTGGGGGGGGGGGGGAGAGAATCACAGTTCTTGCACCTAATTTTGGTTCATTGCTCAACAGTTTTTTGCCATCATGGTAATTCATGTGCCCAAAATCCTTTCGCACCAGAAAAGACAAAAATTCACAGTATGTGGTTATATTTTGATTGTTCAAACCCTTTTTTGTTCAAAAGATGGATGTTTTATAGATGCATTGCGAAATGAAATATTAAGATAGTATGATGTAAAAAAAAGGTATATGCACATATCTTGTGGCATTTTTGTCAAACATCTGATACGGAAGCGCGTGGTCCTATACGTAGCCCCGTCAGTAGCGCTGATGAAAAATTGTGGCTCCATCCATCATTTAAGTTGCCCATCACTATAGTGTGTGAGCACACCGGGTGCTAACTCCCAGGCTTTCACAGTTTCTTCTACCCACCGTTCCCTGTGTCGGGTGGTAATAAGCCACCAGGGTGAAGACAATCATGGTGAAGAGGTAGGAAATTACGTTGATGTAAAAGGTCACAGCTGCAAACTTCTGCCACTTGGCCCTCAGCAGTTCATTGATGGGCTCCACCGCCAGCATCTCATGACGGATCTGACAAGGACATATTGTCATCTGACTTTTTAATACACTGGACTTGAAAGAAACTCCATTACAAATAGATTGTAGATTTTTATTTTTTTTTACCTCACTGCGACTGCTGTAAACAAGGATCTCCAGCACAGATGGTTCACCTCCACATGTGTCCAATGAAGACAGATCATAGAGGGAGGAGTACACTGGTCCATAAGCCCAGTCCTTAAACTTGCGTGACAGATGACGGACATCCTCATCTTTGATCTCACGGCGGATGATGTGTTGAAAAACCTGTGAAACGAAATGAATATGATTCCATGCTTCGTCTAGATTAGAAAGTCTTCAGAAAAATGCTATTTTCATTGTATCCGTTTTTTGACATAATTTTGCACCTCAAAGTGGCAGTTGTCAACTATTAAAAAAAACAAATAAACAAAAACGCACAAAATACCCACCTTAAATATTCCAGTTTTGTTGGAATTACATTTGGGTCCGACACTGATTTGATTTTGGTGATGATTGCCACTGACCTTCAAAAATCATATGCAATAAGCACCAATGACAATAATGCAGTATATTAACGATGGCAGCCTAATCCGCAGATGTAAAATTCAATTTTATGTGGCCTGAGAAAACAAATTTTCCTTGACTTTTGTTCTAAACTAGCTTCCCATCGTAGAAATGATGGTAAAATGCATGAGCAATTCTAAATAATGACGGGGCGATAATTAGAGGTGCCACATAAAATATATTTGGGACAAAAGGTGCCTCACGCTCAAGCCGCATGCACGGTGCTTGAACAAATACAGTGCAACCCGGTTTCTAACTCATCAACGCTTTTGGCAGAACATCTAATGTGTTCAATTGCTTGAATTGGCATGAAAAAACAAGAGTGAGATGAAGGCAACATCAAGTGACATTTAAACACCCTTACTTTGGCTTTTTGCATGGCACCAAAGCAACGACAAATGCCAGAGTTCATGTTTTTACAGCATATCATCATATTTCTCACTGTAAAAACCATTACTGTCGCACATGTCATCGCTGTTCATTTCCCAAAAAGACAACAAATGTTGCGCTTTCCTTTCAAGACAGATTACTCTACTTATGTTGATGTTTCATTGCAACTGTACAGTAAATGTTATTACCTATGTTTCGCTTTACACAAAACATTAGCAATTTGTTTTGTATTTTCTGCCAGTAACGTACAAATTGTAAAACAAACCGTAACCTCAACAACCTCAACAACAATGCTAAAATATGGCCCGCATTGAAGTTTGACAAGCCTGCTCTTGCCCAAATCTTAAACCTAAATCAAGCCTTATTTAGCCTACAACTGTGATAACTGTAACTATGTTGTTGTAGTTGTTGTTTTGGACAGCACGGTAGTCGACTGGTTAGCACGTTGGCCTCAGCGTCAGCACGGTAGTCGACTGGTTAGCACGTTGGCCTCAGAGTCCAGAGGTGCCGGGTTCGATTCCGGCTCCGGAGGTACTCGTTTTTGCCAGCGTTTTCTGTTGTCTCGTTTTTGCGGTGCGGTTTTTGTTAAATAAATCTTATTTTCATACGTAGTTCTTGTTGTTGTCTGCTGTTTCGGGAATCCTTTAGATCACCTAGGTTGCGAGCGAAGCGGGTTCCCTTCCGCTTTGCCCGCAACGTGACAGCTCCAGCACGCCCTTGTGAAGATAAGCGGATCAGAAAATGGATGGATAGATGGATGAATGCTAAATATAACCCAAGTACTGTACTTAGTTATGCAAGAGTGAAAATTGCAAGTACACAATTTTTAAAAAACAGTCACCAGTTCAATGCATGAAGTTGAATTTGTGCACTTGGGTCCTATTTTCCTTGTGAAGATAAGCGGATCAGAAAATGGATGGATAAATGGATGAATGCTAAATATAACTCAAGTACTGGACTTGATTATGCATGACTGAAAATTGCAAGTACACAATTTAAAATAACAGTCACCAGTTCATTGCATGAAGTTGAATTTGTGAAATCGTTGGGTCTTATTTCCCATCATTCTTACCCCGATCTTGCCCAGTTTGGCCGCCATCATAAGTGGAGACATGCCATCATTATTGAGCACCTTCTCCAGGCTGCAGTCTGGGTACAGTTTGGCGCTCTTGATCAGAAGCAGGTCATACATCTTTGTGAGGAAACGGGTGTTGTCCTTGGTGTTGTCCGCAATGTGCACCAAGGCGTGCAGGACTGTGTTGCCCCGGGAATCTTGGCGCCTCAGGTCGGCCTTCTTGTGGGGATTCTCGGTCAGGTAGTGCACAATGTTAGGCTGGTTGGTGCAGGCGGCCAGTGAGAGAGGAAGCTCACCTGTGGGAGGCGGAGGGTAGAATTCTGAATTCTCTAGGGGGAGGACAGCAATTTGGTTGAAAAAACCAGCTAATGAATACGAGAGTTAATTAGGAGCTGTTGCTAGCTTCTGTTTGTTTTTGCAAAGCATTCTAAACATGGATCAAAGATTGGTCTTTAATCCCCGCTTCGAAAACAGCACAATTAGCAGTTGTTGGAGGGAAGGTTGCAATGGGGCCAGAGTGCCAAAAGCAGCTGCGGGAAAATGAGCCGTTGCCATGGGTGACAGATTACTTTGTCACCTCAGATAGAAACGCTCCTCTTCATGGATTTGCACGGGTGCACGCTGAGTGTTAGCGTGAGTCGAAATCCCATTAGCCATCAGCCCTGCCAGGTTCCTGTTCACCTCGCCGCAAAGCTCCGCAGCAAATTACTCACACTGTGCACAGACACGCTGGGATTTGGGAATGACAACCGTACTACGCGCAAATAGAAATCATCTCCTCCGTGATGGGTGAGGAGTAAAATGTGCGTTTCCAATCAAAATTGAACGAGCCTTTATGTTGACTATGCAACACAAAAAAAATGAAAGAAGGCGCAATCTACCGCTTCATTGCTTTCGGTGTTCGATAGAAATATCTAATCAGTCTTTTTTTTTTTTTTTTTTTCGAATCATTACCAGAGAACATAACACATGTTGTAAATATCACTTTTTCTTCTGCTACTATTTCTTCATCGGGTGCTTCTTATTTTGGTCAATTTCATTGAAAAAAAAATGCTGACCGCTCCACAACGATACAATCCTCAAATTTGAGTCCATCATTGATATGTTTTTTAATGAGCTCACTGTACTGAGGTTCGCGGTTCGGATCTTGGCTTTTCTAGAGTTCTTTCCTTGCTTGTGTGGTTTTGTTCCTGGTATTCGGAAACAAAGTATTAACACTTCATAATTATACTTCAGTAGATTTTTCATGTATTTGTATTTGAGCGTTTCTTTTTGTGACTACTTTTTAACTTTACTCTCTTCATTTGAATACAATTCTTATCAGTACTTTGTCACAATGGACTCAATACTTGTTTCGACCTCCACAGATGATGACGCGATATAAAAAAATACATATATAAATACTGAGAGGTATGGTCAATAACGTTTGATATCCTGATTGATTGATATCTTGTGGACTTATAAACTGTATGGTGAAAAAAAAAATCTGCACAATACAGGTGGACCGGAGAGCATTTAACAACCATATTGCAACAGATTCTGAGAAACAAAATATTCCCTACCATGGCTTTATTTAATTTGAATATCCATCTAATCTGAAAAAAAATACAAACAAGTAAGGAATATTCTTTCAATCGTTATCATGAGCTAATTTGTCATTTTGTTCCTCAGCTCGCCACATTAGCAAAGCTATAGGAACAGTGGAACATTTTGTTTTGATAAGGTATAAAATCCTTAACCAATCTTCTTTTCGGCAATGCGCTCGACGCTGTTTTATCAAAACAGGCGCTGCGTAATACGTTAACAACATTACAGAGGCGAAAATCTTTCTACTTTTAACTTAGTGAAGGAATTGAATCAGTACATATAGTATGAGTATATGAGCCACGTCCACCAACAGAGGGCAGTATTGAGTTTTGCTCGAGGTGAGATGCTGCCTTCCAACACAGGATGTTGGTTTTCCACTCCAGAACACAGACACCTTTCTTCTGATGCAACTTGAACACACGCCATACCATACACATGTGTTTGTCGAGCATTGCATGGCTGCCTTCGAGAAAAAGAAAAAAAACTGGCAGTGTCTGAATTTGCCAGTGGTGAAAAGGTGGCACTGACATTTCCCCTGCCAAGAACATGTACCAAGAAGGTATGACTCTGTCTTGGCAGCTGCTTTAAATGTAGACAGAGTGGAAAAGAGTGAAAGGTAAAGCTGTCGGTCCGGCACATCGTTGCATTTGCGTCATTTCCTCACCACTGCTCCTCTTGCACAGTCTTTCATGATTTAAAGAAGTGGTTTGAGGTTTAAAAAGTCTTTGGTTTGAGACAAAGAGGCACAGTTTGAAGTAGGCAGAGGCTATTACCGAAGTAGAAGTAGCCGCCCTCGTCCCTGGGTTGGAAGAAGCGTCCTCTGGCCTGCGCGTGAACATCAGCGCCTTTCTCCACAAGTAATTCCACATACTGCTTACAGCGACGCTCGATGGCAATGTGGAGCGCCGTCTGGCCTGACAAAAACAAACCGTGTTCAAGTTATGAGCAAATTTGCCACGAGAAACGATTCAGAATCACACACAATTGCCAAAAGGACTTTCGAGTAGTTTTAATGCGAGTGTGAGCGATCGGCTTCAGTCAGAAGGGAGTGCAGGAAAGGGGAGACCTTTGGGGCAGATGTCAAACAAAGTTGGGTGAGAACTGCAAAGTGTTTCTATGGAAACCCAGCAGATTTTCAGAAGTATCGACAAGAATGAAAAGTTGAATTAACCTCAAGGTGTGCATTTTAGCCTCTGTGTAGAGGAAATTGGAAGCACCTTAGTTAAGAATTACAAAAAACAATATAAATACACATAAAAACCAGGCAGACAAAACAATCTAAATATTAGCTCATTTCCACAGCTGTAAATAGTCACTGAGCACATTTAAACGGTAAATACTGTACACTCCTTTTCCTCACTGCAGGACCTCGCCCACCACTCTAAACATTGGTAGCTTTGACACAGTGGCGGAAAGAGGGGGGGGGGGCTCGAATTCGACCAACAAATGGGCCATAGTCATACCTCTGTAGTAGACATCCCTGAAAGGCGTGTTAATAAACTCCCTCAGGCTTCCTGTCTTCTCTGCTATGTCCACCAGCAGCGGGATGGTGTCATTCTGCCCGCTGTAGAGGTTCAACAGAGCTTTGGGAAGACATGTCTTACCAGTGGACGGCTCTAATGAGAAATGACAGTAGAATGTGCAGTGGTTATTGTTGTATAGTATCGCGAATAAATGAAGACATTTGTGGGGATGTAGAAATCTCCTTGTACCTAATTTGTAAATTTATATGGAAAATAAAAACAGGAAGATAAAAAACTTGAGATGAAATGGAGTTACGTCTTCTCTATTTTTAACCTCTTTCTAGATAGTCTTTGAAACCGTTTGGCAGCTCAAATAGACAACAGTTTGCTGTGATTTTTCTCTGCTCCCTGTTATAAGCGTCGAGCATACACAGGAAGCTTTCCTTGGGACTGCCCGTGATAGGACAAAGTCGATGACATCAGCGCCCTTTCCCACTCACATCTATCTGGGTCAAAGAACAGCAAAGACCCAGAGGATCAGCGGGAAACAGAAAGTCAACAAGGTGGAGATTACAATGGGTTCTGCTTCACGGCAAAAGGCCCATTCTCTGCCAGCTCTGTTTAAACAATTCCTAGTGAGAATGCTGACACTCCCAAGCCTACCTTTGAACTCCTCATCCGTCAGTCGCTTGTCGTTACTTTGCAAGTACTCCAACAGACCCTCCAGGGCCTCGGGATCCCCACGTGACACACAATCAAAGAGGCTTGAGCGGTTGAAGACTTTCATAACCTTTGGGGGGTCCTCACTTGCACCGTCTACATTGGATGTCTCTGTTTTACTATGAAGACACAGAAATGACAGGTGTCATGTATTAACTGCAAGATGCTTCAATTTAACACAGCACAAAGAGGTCATTACAGTGCTGTGATGAGCTACGATATACTCCAAAAGGCATGAGAGGCATTTTATTATCAATTAATCCCAAAACCTAAATTGAGGGGCTGGCAAGACCACAGAATAGCATCGCTTCATCATTCTCCATTTTATGCTGGTTGGTTACGGAAATTTCCTATTCCAGCATGACTCTTTGCCCCAGTCCACAGAAAACGGCCCATAAAGGTACGAATTTGATGCCATACACTTTTGTGAGTCAGATCTGCTCTCAGTCGCAACATGATTGAATTTTTACCAATTAGTCTAAGGCATGGTGTCAAACTCAAGGCCCGGGGGCCAGATCTGGTCCGCCACATCATTTTATGTGGCCCGTGAAAGCAAATCAAAGATGTCAACTTTCATGATGCTTGCTGAAATCTCGACCAAAATTTAAAATTCTCATTTGTAATAATTAAGAGTGATACTGTAAGCATTTTCTTGTTAACAAACCCGTCATTTCAGTAACTTTTTTAAACAATAGGTGAATAAACCGTTACTCTTGACTTCTTTATATAGTTTCATTCATAATGGCTCTTCAAGGGAAACTGTAACTAAAATCTGGCCCACGAAAAAAATGAGTTTGACACCCCTGGTCTCAGGGATGATATGAGCAACAATTCTCACAGAAAGTGGCCAACGGCACATGTTCCATTTTCACCTCAGGTCTAGTTGCTAGGCAGTGTCCTTATACTTTTGCCCATATTATGTAGGGCTGCATGTATGAGCAAGGAGAGTGCTGGGTGGAGGCAGTTGTCTAAATATTACCTCAACGGCCACGAAAGGCACCAACAACATACGCTCTGTTAGATTACTAAAAGGGGCCCATGTTGTTGTGTGTGTGTTGGTGGGTGTGTGTGTGTGTGTGTGTGTGTGTGTGTGTGTGTGTGTGTGTGTGTGTGTGTGTGTGTGTGTTCGCACTTCTTCATGTGACACACCTCTGTCTTGAGAGCATTTTTGAACACGATTTTTCCAACCCTTTTCCCAGTTAAAAGAACTTTATCAGGTCTGTTCCCGTATTTTAGTTTTAGCAAAGTGCCTTCTCACCCTCTCGGCAACTTCTTCCTGCGTCGTTTCTGGTTACTCGTGTTCCTGTAAGTGCCATAGTCAAAGAGGGAGTCCATGGGTGCTTTCTTTGGACCTGGAACAACGTTTGATTCATATATGGTGGATTCCAGTAGATCCATGGGGTTTGAAATGCCCTTCTTGAAAGCACCTTGGAACTTCATCCGCAGGTTTGGTCTCCCATCCACTGCAGCCTGGCCGGACTGAACCGTTTCCTGGGCCGAATCCTGCCCACGGTCCTGAGTAGATGGGGAGCCATCCACGCTCTCAAACAATTCTGAGAACTCCGACAAGAACTGCCCGTCATTCCCAGCCTGATCGCCATCGCTTGGATCGAGAGAGAGGGCTGTGCTGGTTGGGAGAGAGCCGACGGCGTCGGCCTTGGACAGGGCAAGGTGGCACCTTCTCAGGAGGGTCGTAGCAGAGCGACCCTGTAACAACAATGGCCACACTTCAGAACCTTAAGAGGGTTTTAGCTCAGAAATATCTTGGACAAACTGAAAAGGATGTGAAGGGGAGTGATAAAATGTTCTTTGCCTGGAATCTTTTATGTAGATATCCATTAGGTTACATTTTAGATGCATTCTTTGCATAGTGCTAAAGTGAAGCATCGCTTGTGCAAAACACCAATATGGACAGACAATTCGCCTCAAAGAAAAAAAAGAAAGGACCCAAAGAAAGACAACAGCAATAGCACCTGAATATTGTGAAAAATAAATAAGTTCATGAATTAAATACATTAAAAGAAAAACTTGGGTGAACTCAAAATTTCAAGGCAAAGAGCTTTGATAAAAATTTAAGTTGGGCAATTCAACCAAATATTCATGAACGTGTAGTATAATGTTTTTGTGTTACAAAACCTTGGCTTTTGCTGTTCTGAAAATTGGCTTTTCTTCATTTCACAAGAAAGAAATACAGAACTAATTATCCCTTGTATTGTCCCCAAACGTAAAGATAAAATTAAAAACAACTCAATAGTTAGTTTTGGAGCAAACGACTTGCTTGTTTTGTTACACTAACTAAGATCCAACAAATGTCAATAATTTAAATTTAAAGTTGTTTCAAGTTAAATGATTTTTTTTTGGGGGGGGGGGCGGTGGTAATTGTTTTAGCCCCCAAAATACGAGTTATGTTTTTACAGTGCATTGCGCTCATGACTTCTCTACCTCATTCATCACTTTTATCACAACAGTGTGATAAATTCCTGTTCAAGCGAAGTGGAAATGATGTTCAAGCATGGGTTGAACCTGAAAAAACAACAACAAAAAAAAGAAGCATTACTGGAAGGCCAATTATGAAAGTTTATGCATGGTTTAAAAAAACTGAGCGGCATAAAAAAAATAAAAAAAAGGGTTAGTGTATGACGTTTGAAAATTTGGAAAACAGATGCCAAAAGCAATAAGGTGACCGTAGCGTCTGCTCTGTCATTGGTCAGCGGGCCTGTCATACCACCTGCACTTTCGGATGAATGACAGGTTTACTCTAACCAGCAAGTAATCTTCCATTTTCCAGCCACTGTGGGAACATAAACATACATGTCGCTGATATGGCCTGACGATCGTTTATACAACATGGCATCCCTTAAAGCATCCTTTCAAATCCTGCGTTGGCTCATGTCAATGCAATCTTATCTAAACCGCGAAAGGTTGTGGGGCGGGGGGGCTCTAAGGGACAGCCATGACTCACACAATGGATTATCATGCCTTTACAGTTCACTTCACATTTGATAGTGAGCACACAGACAAAAAGATGCTATAACCAATCTTTATATACTTTCACGAAAGTTTAAGGAATAAGATGTTTAATGGAGTTGTGTCAGCTATGTACGCACCAGATGTCTGATTTGACGGATCGATTAGTCACACTCAGAGATGTGGCGATGATGATTGTAAAGGTTCATGATTGACAGTGGCCCTAAAAGCAGTACTTTTAAACCTGCATCGTTAAAGTGGTGAGGTCTTTTATATATTTTTTTATTTGTATTATTTTCCCCACAAGATCCGAAATCCCTTGTGGCGCCCCGGTGGAAACTGCTCAAACACCCATTGCAACTACAGCACTGTCGAGTGGATATTCTCTCGGCAAGGTTTTGACATGAACGACAATACTGGCTCAACCGATGTGACAAGGGAAGGGGATAACAAACTCCATTACTCCCCAAATTTATTTTTCACATTAAAAACGCGCTATTTCTTAATGTAAAGAAGTCTTCATGTAACAGAAAACATTGAGGAAAATAGCGAAATGGATTTCTTGTATTAATCTACAATAAAGTTCTTATTTAAAGGTTTAGACGTATAATTGTTTAGACGTATAATTGTGGCCCCTGTTGGTAAAAAGTAGTCAACAAAATGTGCAATTTACCTTAATCCGCTAGGCTTGTTGAATTTCTTTGCTTTATCAATTCTTCACCATTTCCATAGCTTCCACGCACCCAAAGTTGAATTTTAGTCTGTCTTCAGTTTCTGACTTACCTTCACGCTTCACCTGAAACGGCCAAACCGCCGCAGAAACAGCAGCAACAGAACAACGCATGCTTCTTCGTGTGATTTTGGGTGGAGTAAAGTTGTCATTTACTAACTTGGCTCCCAAGTTGGAACTGACCGCCGGAGCTGAACGTGCAGTACCGTAAATTCCCGCAAGATGGAGACTCTTGATCCTGAATAGAGAGAATCGTAAATAGAAAGTGGAAAATGAGCATAATTTAAAAAAATCAAAAATATTTTTCTGTCAATTAAATACAATACACGTTTTGATAACTTGGCACACAAGGGGGAAAACTCCATCTAATTTTATTAACGTGCATGTCGAAGTCATTTCGAGAGATTGGGGAGGGGTGATTGGTACTGCTTTGCCACTTTACACCTAACAGTGTCCATCATGAGCCAAACAAAACAACATAGCTAAAAAAAACACAAAAAAAAACGAGTTAACTATGACTAGTAAACTATAAAAATGTACCATAGCATTTGTTATAAGATAATAAGATAAACAGGGCAAATCTGTAAATTGTTATTTCAGAAGAATGTATCAAACTGCTAACCCTCCGCAGTAAAGTACCCTTCTTACGTTCAAAAAGGTTGGTGGCCCCTGGACTGGAAATTGCAGATATCCGTTTTCAAATGTGAGGTGTTCTGTAAAAAAAGTTGTCCAATAAAATACTCTAGTACAGATACTTCAATGATCTGATTAAGAACAGTAACAAAATAACTGTTCTTTATTGCATTGCCCCATTGTTATTTCTTCAATCGTTTGCACACAATTACAGTGTATTTCATGTTTAAAAACCTATGAAGAACAACAAAATATTTAAAAGAAAGTGATCACCAATAGATTAAACTGTAAGCTATTGATGCTAAATGCTTACCCACAAAATTGAAACAGACAGAAAAACAACAAAATGTTGCACATATGTTTATTGTCCATAGTAGTTCGCATGTCATGCAAATCTATAACATGCTTTTGCAGGCTGCACAATTCAACCAAGTTTCAAACTACTGTAGGCTATTTGAGGCTTTTGGGATTTATTAAAATGTGTAAAGGTATTTTGAAATGCTACATAACGTCCATTTGCAGGTTATGGGTCACACTAAAGTACATAGCTGAACACATTAGAATCCACGGAGAGTACCTGTATATTTTTTATGCTAGACATTTTATATTATTTTCTATTCTGAGTGAACATGCCCACAACCAATAACGCCAACAGAACATAAATTCAGGCATTGCAAGTCACATGGATAACAATAGCTTTGAGTGCTTACCATTATGTCCGCTGAGATAATCGAGTGATAGCATAGATACGACACAAAAGTGCACAGATAGTACATTAGTATGACTCGAAGTTGTTTAAGGCCATGTAAGTCTAAAGCGAAGCACAGCAGAGAAGGACAATGGGTTGTTTTGCGCTCAAACTCTGTAGTCAATCTCAGCATTCATTTTATTATACATCTCATAAATAGCATCGACTGTAACAGAGAAGTTGATCAGGAATTTTTTCACTTTCTCCAGACATTCCTCTTCCTTGACTTCGCGGCCTTTGGAGAGCGCCTTCAAGAAGTCCGATCTGTACGGGGCAGCAAACAGAGCTGCCTAAAACCAAACACAAATGTCAATTCTATTCCAACATAACACTATTCTGCTATTCTGCTCCCAACAACACAACATTAGCAAACTAAGAAGATACAATGCGATTCAGTGCACCTGTGGTGGTAGCAATCAAAGGAAAAGACCGACAGCAGCAGGAGGCAGCAGGGGAAGGACAGGACCGGAAGGTGGGAAGGAGGAGGGAGGGAAGGGGGGGGGTGCTCATTTCCTTGTGGCAAAATCTGGACCACCTCACTTTTTTTTTTTTTTTTTTTTTTTTTTTTTTTTTTTTAAAAAAAAAAAAAAAAAAAAAAAAACTTCTCTCTACAACATATTGGATTTCAATAGGCTCTGCACCAGTTTAAAGCTTCCTGGTTCAAATTTCAACTCAGATCCTCCTGTGTAGAGTTTCCAAGATCTATCGTGCTTGCATATTGCTTGGGTATTTCCAGATACTTTGGCTTTCTCTCACGCTCCAAAACCACGCATGCTAAGTTAAGTGAGCACTCTGAATTATCGATAGGTGTGAATGTGATAGTCAGCAAGGAAAACCTCCAACTCACCTATAACCCTAATGTGTAGAAGACCCTTCGAAAACCGATGTATGGACAAACTATGCACATCTACTCTTCCTGTTTTTAAGGCTTGTGAGTCGATATCTCAGAACTCACCCTGAAAAGCTGTTGAAGCCACCAGCTGTGATATCGCTTCAACGTCAATTCATATGCTTTGGTCACATTGACTCGAATGAGATTTGGGTTGTTTTCATCCTTTTCACCATCCAGCAGGCTTTGAAGGAACACTTGGATAAAGCGTAGACTCCTTGAGATACGTAAGGAGATTAATGAGCACTCACTTCATAAACTGAAGCATGACAGTATGTGTTACACACGTGATTTAAACATACAAACCTTTTCAGCCACATGAGTGCCAACGTAGCTCCAACTTTGGGCCATTGTGTTCCATACATTTCCTTCTCGACCTCCAAAATCTGTTGGAGGGTCCTGAAGCGTCCTGGGTTAGTGTCATAGACAGCCTTGACTTTCTAAACATTTGAACACAAATATACGGTATTTTATTTTGTATGTTACGATCTTCTGCATGGATTCCAGCGAGTCTATTTCTGCTTCCACAATGTCAAAGGCTGTGCACATCTAGTATGCCGACTTTAAAGGGAATAAGAGTAGTAGTCAGCCTTGTTCATGCCCAAATTCCCCTTTCTTATTGTACTCGTCTGTGAAAATACAAAGTATACCACAGAACAAAAAGTCCACCCACATGCACGATTAAACTGTGCTGTGTGCTAGACTTGCGCTTGACACAAAAATAGAGCTCTCTGTCTTTGGCTGGCACAGTGGTATCTGTGTCATAGTATTGGAGCATGACAACAGAGGCACAGTATCTGCTAAAAATGCCGATACCAGTAATGATACAGGATACTGTTATTGACTTGCATGGATGTGCTTTTTGTTACCGCTCGCGGTACTTAAGTGACTGAAGCGCATCAGCAAATGTGCCATCCTTGACCATGTATATTCTTTCATCTGAAGCAGAAAAGTCAGCACAACTATATTTGACTTACCGATATTTTTACTTGTACTTACTGTAATATTCGCTAATATGTCAGACTTGATGGGTGCAAAGATAGTCGGGCCAAGACAGTCTGCGGACAGATTGCATCCAAAACTTTAGAGAACTCAACTTTTCAATTTCATTTTCAATTCATGCAAGCATTTTTAAAAAGTGACGAAGGATTTACCACAGGTGATTAACCTTATAACCAATACCAGAATGGACCAGCTATAGTGTCTCTTTTCATAGACCCATTAGTACAGTAGTACCATTCGTTGTTCTTGAATTAGACTACTAGACAAGTGGAGTGTTTGGTGTCAGGAAAGTGAACAATGAGAATGTGGACCCACGTAGGGCTCGCTCGACTCACGGGACTCTTTCAGGCCTTGTCAGTCATTCCTTCCTGCTCATGAGGGCATGTCGTGTTTGGGAAATACAGCAGAATTTTACTTAACTTTCCAGATATCTCAGCAAGGCCCACATTAATTTTGCAAATGTGCTTTACATGTTTTAAAAAAAGCAAACAAATCCACCAAAAAGTAGAATTTGCCCCAAATGCCTCAATCTTTAGCAGGAACCCTCATGTCTGCCGTCTCTCAAATCAAATGAAAAAATAAGTACCAGACAGTGCCAGTCATAACCTCATTTCATGGCTGGGTGAGCCAGTAATGGGTCATGGCCAAAAGATTTCTGGGTCATCAAAAACAATGAGGTACAAGAAGAAAAGTGTTCAGTATTGACATCAGATTTTGTTCCTCTAAAAGGTTTCACGTAGCAATTTCCATACACAACCTTTGGCATATTAATACAGAATGAAGTGGCACAAAGATGCCCTGCGCCCATGAATGGGCAAGCGGAACTCAATACCATACGAATCATTTTCACAACTTCAAATCCAGGGCAGGGAATTAAATTATGCATGATAAAACAATTGGAGACAGCTTGATGAAGAGAAATGTGATCCAAATAATTTATTGTTTGAGGAAAAAAACAACTGTTTAATTGCATCCACTCGACAAAGCAAGCAATGAGATCGTTTTCTGAATTCCAAACAGTCATAAGCACCTAAATGCAAAAGTACTTTTTAACATTGCATAGTCACAGTTAACACTCCGTCTAGTCCCGTACCTAAAAATCATAAACATAATAAATTATATCTCTAATTCTAGGACAGAATCAACAACATTGCATAATATCAAATGATACCACTTCTACTAACATGATAGCATACTTACCAATGAATGGTGGAAGGTAGGTTGCAGCCTCTAGAAAAGGTCTGGTTTCCACTTGTCTGTCAGCTGGCAATGGTCTGAACTGGTGCTCCAATAGCAGAGCCATGGTGTCTCGCCTGCACAGTTGCTTGTCCACTCAGAGGTGAAGGTAACAGACTGATAGACTTACAGTGACCATGAGACTGGGTGACGCAAACACACTCTCTCTCACACACACACACACACACACACACACACACACACACGCACACACACACACACACACACACACACACACACGCACACACGCACACACACAAAATCAATTTATACAAACAATAGACACATTTTATTGGTGTCCTGATTTTAAAAAAGGGGAAACCCGGGATCAATTGTTGCTGCTAAAGCTTGACCATTCAGAATGACCAATTCCTTGTAAAAGTCTCACTTCAGCAAGTTTTTTTAGGTGAGGGATTTGAGGAGAATTACAGTCAGACTGACAACCTTGATTAGAATTTTAATTCACTGTAATTGACCATTAGTTTTTTATATCACTTATCCTCATTACGATGTAGACAGGTGAGCTGGACCTTTTCCCACTTGACTTTGAGTGAGAAACTGGGTATGTATTCATTTGTTACTGCAAAAAAGAAACAAAGTTGAATGAACTCAACATGCTTGTGATTTCTGTGTAAAGTGAAGAAAAATTAAAAATTTTCCACAATTTTTTCTTTTTTTGCTAAAATGAAAAAAACCAAGGTGGCCCGGTGATCGACAGGTTAACGCGTCGGCCTCAGAGTGCAGTGCTGTAGCGTTCGATTCCGGCTCCGGCCTTCCTGTGTGGAGTTTGCATGTTCTTCCCGCGCCTGCGTGGGTTTTCTCTAGGTACTCCGGTTTACTCCCACTTTCAAAAACATGCAGGTTTGATGGAACACTCTAAATTGTCCCTAGGTGTGAGTGTGAGCACACATGGTTGTTCGTCTATGTGTGCCCTGCGATTGGCTGGCAGCCAATTCAGGGTGTACCCCGCCTACTGCCCGAAGACAGCAAGCAATGGGTACGTGTGAGTGACTCGAGGGGATGCAGGACAATATGCGTTTTTACGTCATAAAGTGTAATTCCACACCCATTACAATAGGGGGCAGCAGAAGCACTGTCACTGTCAGACTGTGTGTGAGTGTTAGCGGTATAGCTTTTTAGAGTGTTTTTTTTCCCCCATCGAGCATGCGCACAAGTTAAGAAACATGGGCAAATATATGAATGAAAAGAAAGGAAGAAATAGGTGTTAAAACATTGTCAACAAATATAGTCTTTGTTTAAAGGCCATCTATATTTCTTGCTTTTGGTTGTCCCGAGACTGTTAATAAGGCTGCAATGTTGTGCAGTGGTGTAATTTACAACAATTTTAGAGACGAATGATGGGCTGGGGGAGGGAGCCAAATTTTGTTTTTCTCTCAATTAATGATTTTCTCTTTTTCCGAACACCCCGAAAGGCCAATCGTTATTTTGCACGTTTTGGTCTCTCCCTCTTTCCGTACCAGCCTAGGAGCGAGTAACCAGGAACTGGAACTACAATCTAACGGCGGTAAGCACGGATGACTCCGGTATAACGCCCGTTTTGAATATGCTTGCGTTTTATTGCAAAACTGTGGTTGAAGTGAACGCAAGAGAAAATACATATCACCTGACGTTTTTAGAGCCAAATGTTTAAGAAAATATATATTCAGTGTGTTTTGTTAAATATGTGGTACGCTAACGGTTGTCTGTTGGATGCGTTTGCAAGCAAAACAGAAGCTACGTCACGTCGATGGAACGAGGAAGGAGTTACCTATGTGTCGTTAAGTCAGTGTGTCTTTGCAGGTACATGGCTTTGCCGACCCTCTCTACATATGTGCCCTATCGGCAAAGGGCTCTTGGCATACAGCTGGCCTGGAAGAGGGAGCAACAATGTCGGAGGCGGGAACAGTTGGCCCTCAATGCTAAGTATTTCAGGGACCAGAATGTCCGCACCCATTTCCACACCGAGTGGACCTCCCGGCACTCGTTCGAGCAGAGGTAGACAGCACACAACAAATGTCATTACAGTACTTGACTCACTGTCTCTGTTCCACTTCATCCAAATGTATTTGGTGGGGAGTTGAGGTCAGGGCCATCGAGTTATTTCACACCAATCACACTCATCCATGCCTGCCATTATAGACTTTTGCTTTGTGCACTGAGGCACAGTTGCACTTAAACACGATACTTCCCCAAAATCTTTAAACAACGCATGAAGCAGAGAATTTCCAAAATAAAGTATATTGATATGGTTGAGAATCAAGATTTGGGAGAAGCTAACAATGATTGATTAACTAAAAAATTAGAGGTTTGTCCTCAAGAGTTTTCTAGCTACCCCAGCTTCCTCCAACATTCCAAAAACATGTATCTTAGGGAAAAATGTTGATATGATTGTCGAGATGCTGTATTAATCATCCAGGGTGTTCTTCAGCTTTTGGCCTAAGTTAGTTGAACTATTTCAAAACAGTGTATCTTATCCATGTTTTGCAAGCACGGAAGTCTGAGGCAAAAATGTATGTCTGTGCTTTGCCAGCATGGCCGCATATTGTAAACAGAAGCTGGAGGATGACAAAGCAAACAGTCTGGAACACCGCAGGATGCGACTCAAGCACATGCTTGACGAGGAGCAAAAGCAACTGGACAAAGAGCTGGATCTTTTGCTACCACACAGGGGTGTAATAATTAAAAAAGCAGATGCGCAGCATTTAAGAGATGAGAGGAGAAAAAAGGTAGATGAAGTCAATTGTTAGAAGCATATTTCCTTTCTGCCTGTGTGTTATGCTCATTATTGTTCTTGTATTGTACCCCTAGCTAGCACAGGAACTGCTCAAGGAGCACCGTAAAAGAAACAACCCTGAATTGCAACAGGTAGCCAGTTCGATTTTGGTGGTGGTGGGGAGGAAAAGCAAAAGAAATCGGACAATGATTTTGCCTCTAGCTGTGATAAACAATGCTGTCTTTCTTTAGTAAATGATAAACCCGTTTGCCGGTTTTGTTCAAAGATCTATTCTGTCCATGGGCTGAAGTTCTTCTCTGCTTTTAATTTGTTCATAGGCTGAGACGGCCTCACAGCAACATCAGATTGTCAACCCATTGCAACTACTAATATCTGAAAAGAAACAGGTAGGATAGCCGGCAAAAGTTGTCGTTACATCGTTTTTCTTGTGTCATTCGTGAGCTCAGTTTCCAATTTCATATATTCTGACCTCTGTGCTCCAACCATAATTTGTAGTTGAATGTTTAATTTCTTCAAACGTGCAGCAAGAAGTGGAGGCGCAGGAGATGTGTCGCTTTCAAAACGAATGTGAGAGGACCCGAAGAAAAGACCTTGAGAAGATCAAACAGGCTGACCAAAATGGTAGCCTTGAAGAGCGTGAGAAAGCACAGAAACTTCATCAAAAAATGGAAGAACTGAGATTGATGGAAGAAGAGGTACTGCCAAATCAACAAAAGTAGATGTGGAGGAAAAAAATGGTACGAGTAAAGTTCAAATCATTTCTTTTTCTGTCCAAGGCAACTCATTTAAAGAAGGAAGAAGAAGCTTTTCAGGTCAAGTTATGGGAGGTGGACAAGATGGAGGTCGAGAGGAGAAAATTTGAGGAAAGGCGCAAGAAGGCTGAAATGCAGTAAGGAAAGTGCTTTTCGGTACATTGACATTCAGGCTGGTGGCAAACTTTGAATATTTCTTCAATTAGGCATTTCCTGGTCCGACAATATAGAGCTCAGCTTAGGAGGCGAGCCCAGCTGGTGCAGGAAGAGCTGGTGAGTCTTTAAATAGTCGCTTATCGAAGAAATATATGTGATCAACAATTTGCTCAACTATGCGAACACTGGTGAAAGCTGCAATGGTCAGGAATAATGAAGAAGGAAGATGTATCTGATGTGTGACTTCAAAAGTGTCGCTGTGTATGCCTTCGTACCCTCCAGGAGTCTGACCATAAAATCCTGGCAGCCTTTCTTAAAGGAGAGCAAGAGAAGGTTAGCATGGAGGGGGCGCGAAGAGAAAGGGTCTTTGCCGATGCCGCCTGGATGACTCGTGTGATTGAAGAGCAGCTTGAGCTGGAGAGAGAGCGGGAGGCCGAGTTGGACTTCCTACACAGGTGAGCAACAGCTTTCACCAGGCTCTCCAAAAGAGACTTTGCTTGTGTTTCGAAATCACTCTCTCTCCACTACTTAGTGCTCTATGTCATGAGTTGCCGCCCATTTTTAGTGCTGTTTGAATGCGTAGCGAGTGTGTTATTCCCTGCATAGTGCAGTCATTGTATCACACAATGGAACGAAAAGCAGTGAGCAACAATTATCTCTAGAAAATCAAATACATCCCATTGATGCATTCTGCTGATACAGAACAAAAGATCTTCTGTTCCTGGGGTATTGTTTAATTTTTCAGCAAGAGACAAATGAATGTCCTGTTGCCAAATTTTCTTGAAGTTGAGCAACAAAGATGGACATAAAATGCTTTGTTTGCATGACTTTTTGAAATAAACATCTTAAAACGACGTAATGTTATAACATATTTGGTCACTACTTAATACAGAAATCCACCAGCTGATGTTGAGTCGGCATCTATACTGTGTGTGTGTGTGTGTGTGTGTCTGTCTGTCTGTCTGTCTGTCTGTCTGTCTGTCTGTGTGTGTGTGTGTGTGTGTGTGTGTGTGTGTGTTATCTGAATTTAAAAACTCCAAATTTCTTCCAAAAAACATCACTAAATATTCACTGTGCTTTTTCCACTGGGGAAAAAAAATACGAATGTTGGGGGGGGGAGACATCTGCGGCTGCCAAACCGCAGGAATGTGGTGGCTTACCGTATAGTAATTAGGGAGTAGGGAATGAGTGAATGATTCCAAACGAAGCCTTCTTCGCTTGCACATTTTAACGTGCCTTCCAATTCAGGGACGAAGCGCAGCGCTTATGGGAGAAACGAGAAGCAACATGGGAACGAGAGAGAAAAGCCAGACAACTACTCATGCATGAGGTGCACTTGATTCTTACAAAGCAAATTTGATGTCACAATCTCTCAGGGCCATTGCAAAACATTACACAAGTCACAAAAAGCTAAATGAGCATTCTTGTGTTTGCCTTGTAAAAAAGGTGCTTGTAGGAAGACGGCAGCAGCTGGAGCTGAAAATGCGGCAAAATCGCGAGGCGCAATTAGCGTCCCTGAGGAGGCGAGAGGAACTGATCCAGGAGCTTGAGCTGGAGAAAGAGCTCAGACGCCAAGAGAGGGAAGAAGAGCAGCGCCGTAGAAAAGAGCAGGTGCAAAGAAATTGGCGCTCAGGATTTGGATCGCTGCGTTAGAATTGTTATGACTGATCAGGCCATTGAACGAAGATACCTCGTGTACATTATTTGGCGATGTAATGCAGTTGTGCCGTTTGCATCCTGCAGGAGGAGGAGGAGCAGCTCCAAGAACAGTGGGAGGAGCAGTGCAGGATAGAGGATCTTCAAGAGGAGCTGGATGCTCACTTCATCCATGAGGGGGCGATAAAGCAGAGGATAAGCAATAACGCATACCCGCCAAAGGTAAACTCAACATTCAGTGAACATGCTCTGGCTGGAAACTTTCAACTCTTAAATGTTAAAGACCAACTAAACTTTTTTTTTTCCCTTCCATTTCAGGTACAGGTATACAGTAAGCCTCGAGTAGCGTGGACATGAGCAACATCAAAACATTATTTATTCTTTTTTTAAAATCACGGTCATTGCCTTACGAACAGGCCTGTGTGCCATCTTCGTCACGTCAACGTGTTCAAGAGTATATTTTGTACCTTCAATGTGTAGAATTAATTTTAATAAATACATTCTTCCATGAATTCAATGTTGTCTATGAAAAACACTCTTTCGAAGGTGCATTTTAAATAAATTAAGTTTATTTAAAAAAATTATTTTTTTCAAAATGCAACTCAAACAGCTGCTTCATATACAGTACAGTAATTCCCTGCACTCACTCCATTCAGTAACATTAAGTTGTGCTAAACAATCAGGAAACATGACATGGACAGCTCAATCTGATAATGTTGCACAACACAACACAGATCAGAGCACAACACATGTGGACTTACACATTGTTTTTAGCTCTAGTTGTAACGATGCCAACACTGTAGCGGCACACAGACTGCATCATAGTGCAGAGAAGAAACCTTTTCTTAACGGTGGACCACATGAACGTCGGAGGCATTCCCAGATTTCGTGAATGCGACAGGCGGCGACAGGCGCACTGCTGACTGGCTACACAGACGGGTACATCGGGGACATCAGCTTTTCCACTCCACAAACTTTTGCACTGCAAAGCTGCACAACTACGTGTAAATTAGAACTGAAAGGAAGCAACAAAACATGATCCCAACAATGCGCTTAACTTTTTTTTGTTTTGTTTTTAATTTTACATGCCTGGCTTGTGCACTTTTTAGGGGTGGGGATTCTCCCATCCAGACTTCTGACACACCTCCCATGTGAAAATTTGTGCGCAAACCACCAAAGAGGCATGATTCGGTGAATTCTGAGGGTCGCTCTAAATTACGCATCGTGAAATTTTCACGAGACGTGAATTCCATAGAGATCCATTTGGAAAATTGCGTCGTGGATCCGGAAGTTATACCGATCGTTGCAGGGATGGCACTACACGGGCGTTGCTATAGCCTCGTCACAAATCTATGTCGTCCAGTTATGCTCCTCCAGCATTTTATTTGATATTCTAAAATATTTCACTTATTTTCTCAGCAGCCCTCAATATCGGCCAATGGGAGAATCCAGGCAGCAGACCTAAAAAGTGTGCAGCAAATCTGACACATGGGGAGAATATGCGTATGCATATGCGAATATCCTTAATGAGGGAACATTTACAGTACAATGCGGTATTGGATGGATTTCCGAGTACTGTGCTTCATCCTACTGGCGTAAGAGGATTTAAAGAACATTTATTTCACCTTAAGTTCAATTGTGCTATTACGGGTACAGTATTTGTTGTAAAGCTCAGAGAAGGTAAACAGTCCCATCTGTACCAAATTGACCAAAAAAAAATTTTTTTTTAAATAAATGAAGGCATGCATATACCACAAAGATGAAAACAAAACCAGAATAAACTAAATATAAGCCAAAGTGTGTCGCCACGCTATCAGTTGGTGTTCTCCTTAGTGGTGATGGTGACAAGCTGTTTGGCCGCCTTGGCGATATCATAAGCACATTGGATGACCTGCTGGGTGACGAGCTGCATGTCCGGTCCTGGGCAGCCTTCTGGTGGCACCGCCTTCCTGCATTCGCTCTGAAGCCTGCACGCACTGGAAGTCAGCAAGCGCAGAGAGCTTCTCACAGTTTCGGAGCGCGGCCTCTGTGGAGAGAAGTGAAAACGGGCACCAAGGCGGCAGATGTCATTGTTTTCTTGTCTTTTCTTTTATATCGTGATAGTTCAGAACAGTTTTCTTACCTTTGGAAAGAGTGCAGCCATTTCTGTCACAGCCACATGTATTCTTTCTGAGCAGGGTATGAAGCTGTGTGAGATAAAAATGCTCAATTACACGCCAGTTGTCAAGTCACAACACAGTGCAATCGAAAGTCGAATTACTGTAAATCCATGCTCAACATTTCAGGCAATATGGTGCAGATTTTAGAGTTGCGTAAAAGTCTGTTTCCGACATATTCACTACAAAACACAAAAACAAAATGGATAACATTTGTCATTAGAGAGTTCCATTGTTGTAAAGATGTTAAGAGAAACAACGATAAAAACAATATCAAGACCTATAAGTGAACTCGACTGAGCTTTGACTTCGACCTCAACAAATTGGAATATCATGGAAAATGTATTTTAGTTGTTTAATTCAAATAGTAAAGTGCATGTATTCTAGAGAATCTTGCCGTACAGAGTGAAATATTTCATGGTTTTAGTTTCGACGACTGAGTTTAGAGCGAGCTAAGACCTCAAATTTACCACGTCAATAAATAAATAAATAAATAAATAAATATGACTGACATTAGTCCAAAAATGGCTTTCTGCAAAATACTTTTCATCTGTATAAATGTCACCTTTCGAATCAAACTTTTCTTGGATATTCTTATTGAGATGCACCTGCAAAAGCATCTGAACATGTTAAATGGGTTTCCCATGCAAACATTTTCCACTAAACGGGCAAATAGCTCAGTCTCCAAGGATTTTTTTTTCGCCCTTGGAACCAGAGCATCATAGTCCAAATCCCACAGCAGATGGACATCAATTGTAACCAGTTGGTGGCAGGATGCCAGCCTCAGCCTGGCTACTATCAAGGTGACCTTTCATTCCGCTTCAGAAATTCGGAAAATGCAAAGCATCAGACGTTTAACAGGCTGACCAAAATGTTTAACGTGACATTCTAGATTGTCTTAAATTCGTTGGGTTGTCTTTGTGTGATATTCAAACTGCTTTGATGAACTGAAACCATTGTGTGCGATAAATATGCAAACTGCACAGCAATCAGGAAGGGGAGAAATTCTTTTTTCACAGCACTCTTAAGTGTAAGACAGAGATGTTATGTTAGGGATCAGCATACCAACACATAAATGGCCAAACGAACAAACTCATGCCGATGAAAAGCGAACCATGAATCAAATCAAACCCTTATAGTGGCAGATGGTAAGAAATATTGTTTGTGGGTAATAATTCATTAGTGGGTAAGAGAGGGAAGAAAGAGCGGAGGCGGAGGAAGATCAAACTGTGCCTGGGAGGCAGGGACAGAGGCCAGAGTACCAGGATGAGAGTTCGGGGGATCGCAGGCTGAGTGGATGAAGGGGGGCGGGGGGCTTCTCAGCCCAGGGCACCAGAGTGCTGAAACATCCCAAACTGTGCCTGAGGCGGCGCACGCCTTCGCGTTCACACGGTCTGCTGACAGGCATGAGGCCCGAGGCCGCCGAGTGCGAGGAGAGGAGTGAAGATGCCAGACAAGTCAACAAAACGGAAGGCGACAGAAGAACGACAGATGCAAGAGGTTTGACATGAAGTCCGGTGGAAATTGAACAAAAACCCGTTGGATCTTTCTGACCTCTCATGTTTGTTATCCTGAGCTGCTCGCAAGAGCTCTTGAATATTCTTGGTGATCTGCTCGGTTTTGCGGATGACGTCCTCGGTGCTGGGAAGTGTCGCGTCCGACTCCACCTCTGCGTCATCCAACTCAGGGATGGAGCTGCCCTCCCCAAGCCGGCCACTGTTCCTCAGTCTCCCTCTCCTGCACATACTGCAGCGGGAACGCGACTTTCGGGCTTGCACTCAACGTCTTATTAACGGAGATAAAACAGTTTGACAATCTTACCCGGAATCGTCCACCTCAGAGTCGATGAATGCATTGTCATAGTCGCTTTCAGGCATGCTGCTCTGCTTCTCTAACTTGGAGGCCTGCAGGGGAAGCGATTGATGGCGCACGTCATTGAGAATATAAACTAGAAACATCTGTGGTGAAAACACACAGTGACTGCTCCTACATACTCACCCCACTAAGGAATTAAAAAAAATAGTTATAATTGCAATGATTGTTTATAAGTGTTGCCAGCAAGAGTGTGCTCGAATCACAACTGTGATAAAAACAAATAAAAGCTAGTCCAGAAGACGTCTGAAACTAGCTCATAAAGCTGGAAAGGAAGAGTGCACAATGTCAAAGCCATTTCCCTGATTACCGCTAGTATAGTTAGATTGTTTAGTCTGCATGAAGTAATCACAATCGCTGACACCAAATGGAAAACCATTATTTGGGGAGCTGGGGGGGGGGCGCAATGCTGCATCTTTTACCAATTAGGTTTACACTTTGCCAGAAGAAATAAGACTGAAATCCTCGTCTAGAGACACCAATGATTACATGAGATGACATACTGTGAAACAAAGGCTTGTTTTTCTTGCGAAGAGAGCTCACAACCGGGATGAGAAAGTCCAGATGGCTTCATAAAATAACCATCGAAACAAAACGGGAAAATAAGCACAGACGATCAAACCTCAGAGACACTATTTCTCCCTGACTTTGTAGTATGAATACATGCGCAGCACAAACGCCGACTCTGGATCACGGCCGAAAATGAAATTACACCAGATATGTTTAGACGCAAGCCACAAACTCCTGGATCATCACTTCGAAATCAGATCCAGACAGATCATGCTGGTTTACTGCGCAAAGTGGTTTTGCATTGTTGGAAACAGCAGCGCCATGACTTGACACTGAAGCTACAAAAAAGAAAAAAAAATATTAACTGGTATTCACCACTAATCGATCTGTAGAAGGTGGATCGTATTACAAAGTGGTGAGCTTATATTTTTCAGTCTTGATGGTTGTGGTCATACGCTGTCCAAAAAAAAAAAAAAAAGACAACTGGTGTTATTTTGGGCTAAAACGGTAATTTAACCCTTTTGGGGACAGCGGTTACTACAGTGGACAGCTTATCGTGTTATCAGGTTACAGGGTGCATGAAAGGGTTAAGATGAAACTTGAAAATATAAATTAGTGACATTTCGGGCAACAACGCTAGTTAGCACAACAACTCAAGCAAGTTGTTTGCTTCAAAACAATTTGGCAAGTTGTTTTTACTTTTCTTTTTAAATTGGAGTGCAATAAAGGGACCGTTTTGTCAACTTATTACTTTGCTGATAATGCAGAAAAGCCAATTTTCACACTTCTTGACAGTGTACAGGTAATCAGTTGACAGCGCCATATGCCTTATTATTCTTGTCATTTGCAATGGTGTAGAATTATGTTTTTTTTTTTTTTAATTTGGGTAAAAACACCTTTCAGGTGTCAGTGCTTTTAATACGCAAAATTGGGTACAAGGTTACATTGGGTGGGTTCACCTACAGGAATGTTGTGGCAAGTGAGGGTATGCAACATTTTCGACAAATTAAGCAGATGTTTGTCACATCTTGCGACATATTTTCTGTATTCACCACTATTCCAAATAAATGTCTTTTTTTTTCTTCCTTGACCATTGTGAGTGACGCTGATGAAGGCATGCGTTTGATGATGAGGTGGCTCATGCAAATTGGCAGGCAGGGAGCAGCGATCGATAAAAGAGTGAGGCAGAAGGAAGGTGATGAAAGCACCCAGTGGACTTGCTGCGTCCCGCAAGGTGAGCCCCCCCAGCGTGAGGAAGTACTTAACCTTTAGATTACTTTCATCCTTGGACCAGGACAGGGTGGACGGAAATGAGAGGAGGGATGAAGATGCGGTCATAAAAGGGCCCTTTTCCTTCTAAAGATGTGATCCAAATCACATTTTAGGGAGACAAAAGATCTTGGTTAAATGGTAAAAGCTAAAAAGCTGTCAATTATTTCTAATTCAAGCACTCAAAAGGATTTGACTTGGTTTGAGGTGTAATTTAAAGAATCTTATTTAAGTAAATGGAAGAAAACCCTTAATGGAAAAAAAAACCTCAAGCGGTCTTAATAAAAAATAAACATACCGAGCTTTTCCTTGTTACTGAGCCCATATTGCTTTCAAAGTTTTGAAATCACCTCTGGAAGAGAAAGTATCTTCATTTGAACCAAACGGGAAGAAAAGCTGATGAGTTTGTCATGCAGTACAAAAACACAGTCTTTGTATGGTTGTTTTAATGCTTCATCAACATAAAAGACAGTACAAAACTGAAAATTAAATCACGATAACACCATCTGCAAGCAAGTACAAAATAATGGAATGTCTAAAAAAAAAAAAAAAAAGACAAGAGGCACACCAGCAAACAACACATGTACTTTGTATGTCGGTAACGGCCTTGTTGCCTTATCAGAACCGGACAAGATGAAGTGTGAGAGGATGCAATTGTGATTTTAGAGAAGCCCACAATGAAAAGAAAAGGAAATGGAATGAATGGAAGACACGGAGAGGTGAAATGGGGCCAGTGGGGAGGAAAAAGCGAAGGGATGCAAGGGAACAGGTTTTACTTACATGAGGTGGGAAGGGATGCAGGGTGGGAATAGCCTCTTCTGGGTAAGGACTTTCCCCTTTAGGGAGATAAGGCTTCAGGCCCGAGCCGGTCTCGTACATACTCATGGGCCGACTTGCCCGAGCTGATTGCCGGCGTTTCAGGGCTGAAGGAGCGGAGGGGTCGGGATAGTCTGACGTGCTGGGGATCTGATAGATATTGGCTGTGACCTGCCGCCTAAGAGAGGTGTTCTCACTTTGCAGAGATTGCAGCTGGAAGAGACGGTCAGCAACACACTAAGAGGTGCTTCTCAGAAAAGCAAGCCGTCATTCACTTCACGTCACGGGAGGATCGTCTTTCTTTTAAAGCTTTACGTGGAGAGAAGCCAGTGATAAGCAAGCAAAGGACTGAGTGCGCAGGCGGAAGTGGAATCAGAGGTGCCGTCACAGATCAAGCGTGAACAGCAATGAAGTTTAAGGAATGGACTAAAGAAAGAGGTTTTCTTGGCACTGATGTTCAGGATTATACCGTAGTGCAGCACTACATCCGTACCGGACTGGATATGGATTCATGTTGAAGATTGGAAGAAAAATCTATTCATCACATGATATAAGGACCACAACTCGATCATGTACATGTTTGCCGGATCGAAATATTCCTTTTAGAGATTCCTACAATACTGTGCTGTGAGAAGACTATACTGAGTATTTACTGGACAAATGAGAATGACCTATATCACATTGATGGAAATAAACTACCTTTCCTGTCCAAACAGTAAAAAGTAATCTTTTTTTTTTTTTTTTGTAGAATAAGTAAAATCTAAGTCCCAAATGGATCATTTGCAAAAATAAACGGAGCCACATTGCTTAAATTACATTTTTTTTTAAATGATACGTCTATATTTTCTATGACCCATTTGGAAAACAAATTCCATCTGTCCGAAATGTTCAAAAACATGACTAAGAGCACATAACAATGTGATGAAGCAAGGCACACACACATACAAATCACATTAGTCATTATCGCCTATGTAATGGATTAAAACAAACAAACAAACATGCATTTTCAAACATTCTTGTTAGTAAGTTGACAACATTCGTAAAGAATTAAAGACTTGTCAATTGTGAAATGAACTGGAGTGATTTCCTCCTCTTCGGATGACTACAAGTGAGCATGCTGGCCGACAAGAGAGGGAGGGTGGAGCAGAAGGGTGTCACAGCAGCCTTCCTGTTCACGTAGTCACGCAGGGCTTAATTACATGGCACAGGCTGGACCGCTGTGGCCCCCCCACACACACACATATCCCCACCCTGACTCAGTCCTGGCCCTCGGTGAGGTTAGTGATCTTATTGTTGGAGCCCGGCGGATACCTTTTTCTGCATCAGTCGCAGCTCATCGCTCAGGTTGCTGTTGGCTTTCAGGAGATGCTGAATTTTGGCCTCGGAGGCTGAGAGAGCGTTTTTCACATCAAGGTACTCCTGCATGGTGATCGGGCCATCAGAGAGGTCAGAGTCCAGGCTCTGTTGGGATCAGAATAAGCATCCATTGTTGGGATGGTGCACACGATTATCTCATGCTGACGTTCATGGTTTCACTGTGAGAAAGTACAAGCGCTTCACCTTGGTCCTATCTCCTTTACTTGAAGGAAGCTCTTGGTCTGTGTCCTCATCGGACGCTACACTATCGTAGTCGGGCTGATCATTATCCTGGCTGTCACTGCATGGCCTGCCAGACATGTTCTTCAAGATGAGTTCCACATTATCTGTAATTTAAAAGACACACATTGCAATTAGGTCTTCTGTGCTCAAGGTTTTGTGTCAAACAAAAAAAAAAAGCTCTGCTCATCCCAGTTGAGGTTGAAACAGTAAGCCCAGATCCGACTTTGCATGTAGGCCAGCTTGTAAATAACTAACTGTGCAAATAATGTGACATCGTAGCAGCATGACGTAGTGTTACCCTGCAATCTACTGTCGTCAACAGAAAAGGAATGTGACACAGTAAACAACAATGTGGCACCGGTACATCCAACGTTTTGTGTGCTTTCTTTTTAGCATATGGCTTTTAATTACAAGAAGACGACGAGACTTGTTTGGAGAACATTGTTGTGTTCCTGATCCTTAGATGGAAGTGATGGTTCTCTGTCAATAAATAAAATAGAATTCAGCTCCGCATCTGGTGGTACAGTACGGACGGTTGTTTTGGTACCCATTCACAATTTCTAACCAGCCATAATAAAGTAGTAGGAAGTAAACTATGGAGTACGGTCGAAATAGGGATTTAAGTACTCACCTTTGGAGTTGGCTGCTGAATTCCCTTGCTGTCGCCGCCTTGCATCACTTAGGATGTCAATCACAAGAGTTGCAAATTCGTGTGCATTGAATCGAGCAAGTTTCTGGCGTCCCTAAAAGACAAAAAAAAAACCCTCAGCATTATGTGGTCGGTATGGGAAATAGGAAAGAAAAAAATGATGCGATGCTAACTTGCCTGATTCCTTGTGGATGAATACTCTGGATTGACAGGAAGGAAAGGCACCACAGTTGTCTCCGTCACGAGGGCACTGTGATTCTGTGTTGCTAGCCACACTTCAAGAGAGTGTGACAAACCAAATCAATTCAGTGTGGGTTTTATTATATCGGAGTGAATAGAACCGGCAACACAGGCACAACAAACGCCCCCCCCCCCCCCCATGATAAAATTAAGTATGACGCATTAATGAAGTGAAGATTTTACACATACTGGGCGTATTTCCCTCAGCATGAGTGTCCTCGCTCATGCCTGTGTACACCACAACACCAACAGCAATCTTAACAACAATCTACAAATTTGTCAGGCTTGCTCCCCCCCCCCCCAAATAAATAAATACATCTCTGTTTTGCCATCACTTCAGAGTGATTTTGTCCTATTATTGTAAGAGTATGTACTCAGTGAAAAATATCAAGGTGTTTTTAAGTAAACCAAGTAGCTCTTAGTTTTACTGTATGTTACTTTTTTACATCTTACAGTCCAACAGGCTCTGCGGAAACCGTTACCTGCATCAGTCTCTCGCCTGTCAACCTCATCATACACATCCATGGCCAGCTCTTCAAATAAATGATTACTTAGCTGCAAAAGAGTAACAACATTGGATTTTTAACGTGGAAAGAGACTAAGTGGAAAATATTGTCAAGTGTGCCATCACTTACTGACTGTAGCTTCTTCTTTGCTGCCTTGGCCAGTTCCGATAGATCTAAACTGCTACAGTGAAATAATATTCATCAACATGCTGCTGAAACCTAAGGGCGAGCATTCATCTGCATGCCATTTGATCATACTTACATGTTCCTAATCCATCAACAGAACGCATAAGAAAAAAACGAACAGCATCATTTAAATGAAGAAATATTTGCGCTAGTTCTAGGACAAGAATAAAGGCTAAATGGGTTTAGTGTGACATATTTGTAGGTGCTTCGCTTCCTGAGACGCAGACAGTCAATGTTTCAGCGAGTCTCAACAAGCCACTTCAAAGCTGAGACAACTCCTAGCTGGTGAAAAAGCCTCGCTTTGCAGTTTCAAGTAAAGTTAAAACCACTCAGGAAGAAAATATGACGTTTACTAGCTTACCTGTCAGCCATTTGAGGAACGATGAAGTGCTGCCCGGTTTTATGATCTTAAGGGAACAAGAATAACGTTGCATACTTCTCAAACTCAAAAGTAGGAAAGTCACATACAGTACATGCTCAACAGATCTCTGATCATCAGCAACGAAAACTGCAAGTGTCAAACGTAAGAAAACAACAGGTAACATGAGTTTCATGAAAGTATCTTTTGGTGTTTAATTCCTGCTTAGTTTTTCTGAGATCGGTTTAATTGAAATCAAAATGATTATTCGCTAGCACCCCCCAAAAATCACTCGCTGGTGTTCAAGGCTTGCTGACAATAATGCCTACATTTTAAAATCAATGCCAAACTTATACATTAGCTTTCTCATGCCTCTAAAGTTCAAAAACGAAAAACTTTTGCATTCAAATTAGCATCTGGCAAGGTTCCACTGTATGCAGCGGATGGAGAGCCACATGTGTAACATCACCAAAAAAATGAACAATATTTTCAATATTTTCTACTCTATATGCATCATTTGTATCACTTTAATTTGAATCTTAGCGAGTCACAGAAATTGCAGCACACCTGGTTTTCTCCCACACAGGTAGAAGGCCAACCGATCCGTCAGCTCATACTGAATCTCCACCAGTCTATCTGCCAGGTCGTGGTGGCCCGCCTCCCTAAGATGACACGCATTCAAACCCTAGTGGAACCAACATGACTTGCTTGCGCGTAATAATGACGTGACTAACCTCGCAAAATCAATGGGCGTTTTGCCGTTGCTATCAGGGGCTCCAGGATCTGCGCCGTAAACAGTTAACAGTTCAGCCTGAGAGACTTGTCCTGCCTTTGCTGCCACATGCAAGGGAGTGTTTCCCTTTTCCTTGAAGACAGAGAATGTGTTCGACTCAGCAAAGCTCAGCAAGAATAGGAATTTAAATGAGTTAATATTTGGATAACAGAAAGTGACTGATGATTAAAAATGGGGGCTTTTTATGTTATTTTTGTTTCGCTGATGAAGTTGCGGATGACAAGGGAATGACGACAGCCTCAAACTAAGGCTCATTGGGAACCTATAGGAGGTTACATCTAAATTGGAGGGAACCTTACTGGGTGAAAAAAGTTTGCTTGAGCTCCCAGAGAGAGCAACCGCAAACAGGTCTCGAGATTTCCGGTGCGAACACTTGAATGAAGTTGCTGGAATAAAGAAGAAAATACATTAGATTTCCAATGACCTGATGTTATATTTTTCTTGTGAGCAGCAGCAGTATTTCTCCTCACCTTACTCAGATCCTTGGCTGTTGAGCTGTCATCCTCCCGACAAGGCATTCGGTGGACAAACGCCAACATTTGATATTTGGCTTTGATGAATTCTGACTTGTTGGGGCTATGAGGAACACATGAAATGAAACAGTTCACAGAGAGACAAGTAAGGAGCAGTGAACGTCATGCAGGGAACACGTTAATAAGTTTCAAATCAGAACAACTTACTGTAATTTGTCCTGGGGGTTGGCCTTGCGTTTTCCACTCATCACAGATGCCGGGTCCAGAAGGGAGTGCTCCCAAATTGAATTAGCGCCATTGCTGTACAACATCTGAACCATCTTGATGAAATGAAAAACAAACATGGAAAATTTTGCTCCGGTGATTCAGAAGAATGTTGTAACACTTTCTAATTCCGGCCAAAAGCAATGAACTTGTATGCACACTACCAGTCAAAAGTTTGGACCCTTTCTCATGCTATTGAATTAGAATCTGCAAATTTTTGACAGGTTGTGTATAAATGTGCAGTCATCGATTTATGTTAGTTCACACAAAACAACAAAACAAATGAGTAATCTCAAGGTGTGCTGTCGTACTACATGTGGCTCAAATGATACAACACAAGAGGAAATAAAATAACTGTAAGCGTAAAAAGAGTTACTTGTAGCTGTGTAGGAGGCCATGGTGTGTGCGTCAGGTGACGGACTTGTGAGCTGTGTCTGCCCAGACTTCGATGAACACTGCAGCACTCATCACAAATCAACACCCCTCTGTTCACTGAGGCCCAGCGGGGTTCTGTGAGGAAGGGAACAGACTACTTACTGGCTGTTAACTGTTACGTTGTGAGATATAAAATAAAGACATCCACTCTAAACAAGTACCAAATGTTCCTTTTTTTTTAAATTACAATTTTAATGCAAATCACATACTGTACTTACCAAGCTAACGAAAACAAGCACAATGAGCAGCTACAACATACTTAAACCCCCTCAGCCTATTCGCTCAGACTCCTCACCCGAAATGTGCAACAGATTCCTTCAGTTTTTCAATGGTAAGGTCTCTACAGCTTGGACTCTTGTTTCAAATATCACATTTGACCCCTCTGTTCCTTTTCCATGTTCAGCTGTGTTAAACTCTTTTGAAGCTCTGTCCTTGACATTTTTAGAGGATGTGGTTCGCCAGACTAAGGCATATGGCTCCCTTTGTGATTCTGTTTCTCTGCATTTCTTTAAGGTGGTTCTCCCGAGTATTGGTACATTGGTCTTGGCCATTATCAACAGCAGTCTGTCTTCTGGTATAGTTCCCCATATTTGTGGGGCAACCATTGCTCAAGAAACCTGGCCTTGATCAAGATGTACTGTCAAATTTTAGGCACATTTCCAAGCTGCCTTTCATTTCAAATATTCTGGAAAAAGTGGTGCACATGCAATTAAATTTTTTCTTGGATGAACATAACGTCTTGGAGGTCTTCCCACTCAGGTTTCATGATGATGCATAGCACAGAGTCAGCCCTGTTACGAGTTTTTAATGGCAACCAAATGACACTGGCGACTATGTGTGTCTGGTTTTATTAGATTTAACTGCAGCATTTGATACAGTGGATCACAGTATTCTGTTGGCTTGTTTGCAGGACCTGGTGGACATTGGTGGTAGCGCCCTTGAGTGGTTTAGATCCTATTTAGTTGACAAAACCTTATGTGTTAGCCTTGGTTGCTCTGAGTCATGAACTGCCCCACTGTTGTGTGGTGTTCCACAGGGCTCAATTCTGGGGCTTCTGCTGTTTTCACTTTGGGTTCCATCTTAAGGAAATATGGTAGAGTATTCCCTTCCACTGCTCAGCGGATGACTGTCAGATCTATGTTTCACTGAACAAAAAAGACACTATTAGAAGTACCGAGAACTAAGCGATGGCTCAGAGGGAATCGAGCCTTTACCATTGCTGGTCCCTCTCTTTGGAATGACCTCCCACTGAACGTTCAGCTAGCCCCCTCATTGCCCATCTTCAAAATTCACTTTAAAACTCATTTTTATTCTTTGGTTGTGACTCAGCATGAGAGTGATTTTTAGTTTGACTGTTTTTGTGCTTTCTACTGTCTTATTAATTTATTGCTTTATTGTTTGGTGTTGTATGAATTATTGTTGCTCCATATACAGCACCGTGTATACAGCGGTGGTTGTTTTAAAGTGCTTTATAAATACAGTTGAGTAGTGAGTTTTTGAATGTAATAATTAATAATGTTCAACAACCATCTCAGAAAGTGCCTCTTACAATGGTGGTTCCCAACCTTTATTGAATCAAAGCACACATTTCACAATGGAAATCTCACACACCACTTAGCAAAAATGGTTATCGGGATTAATTATGTACCTGCCGTCATTTAGTGGAAAAGCATTCGATTTTTTACTATTCTTACATGTGGTGGGCATATATAAATTAACAAAAACAGTTATTTATGTCAAATTAATTGACATTGGATACTTTCCCACAGCACGCCTGATGATCTCTCACAGAACACGAATGTGCCACGGCACAATGGTTGGGAATCACTGTATTAGCATGTTACCTTACTATCATAAGGAACAGAGAGTGGAGGGCTTGGCATGCAGATACAGATTTCTACATAATCTGTATGTATCACATTAGGGATTGTCATAACTGTACTGTAAGTGATCAATTATGTGATATTGATTGTTGATTGACATTGACAGTGGGAGTTAGATTTGAGAGTCACTATCCAAAAAAACAACCACCCTGACCTGCATAATTATAAGTGTGTGTAATTCACAATTAATACTGTGAATTCGGCCGGCCCTAAACTACAGGCAACAAAATGTAAGCCACGTGAGTGGCTGATGCTGCACCAGGACAACTGCTGAAATATAGTGGAAACATCTGTAGCGGTTACTCGTCACATTCATGCCGTCTGGTTGTAGTTTAGAGTCCCATCCAAACTACTGTTCAAGACCGCTCCGCTGGTGGGCCTCCTTCACGCTTTCCTCAAACAAGTGCTGCTAAATTTAATAGTAGATCTTGAAAATCTAAAAATATTCACAGCCAACAACTGGTCACAGTTGCAAGGGAGGGGCAAGTAAACCCAGCTGCTGTGGAGACCTTAAAGCGTAAGAATGTCAGGATGAGTGGAAAAATGGGGTCTAAAGCTTGAGGAATCAAATACATTTTCAATTTTAATAATTTGTGCTTCTGTGTGTGTTTTAATGTATAGTTCTTATAGGATATCCCCTTCAGAAAAAGACTTCCGAACTGAAAACACTCGGTCAATTCATTCAGCATCCTGTTTGGCTTCCTGTGCTTGCTGAAAAACATCACGTCACAACTACAGAAAAGGGGATTTCACACAGAATGAAGGGGTTAATAGTCTGGATTTCAAATTCTGTACATCTTTGATTGTAAATACTTTGCTGCATTTATTTTCACAACGGATTAAGGAAAACATTTATACCTGATGGTTTTCCCTATTAAATTGAGTCATACCATTGATCTGTAGCCAAACAAATTACGTTCGCGTGGGATCTACTGTCTAGGAAGCAAAATAAAAAAAAAAATAAAACGAAAAGGGGGATGATAACATAATTTCATCTAATGTATTAATTCACAAATATGAGTCAATGTTCTATGGTAATATTATTTTCAAACACTGGCTCGTCTTGATGTCAACACGGCCACAGACGGAAATTGAACAAGAACTGACCGCTTGAGGTCAAATAGCATCCTCCCCTGGGGGCTCGGATAGATGTCAACAACACTAAACTTGTCACACACTGCATTTAACAGTAAAGTAGACAGTATCGTGGCTGGGCCGAGCACTAATAATCCGATTAGAATGAGAAGCACGGGGTGTGATACTAGTGGACTGAGTGTCAGGAAACCACACGTCGCTCAACGTTTCGAGAACAGATACGAGCTAATGCTGACACCGTTCGATTATAAGGTTCACTTACCTGGGACGCAACAGTCTGCACACAGCTCCGTGTTCCTCATGCGTTTGGACATTCTAAACAGCGGAAATGCTTGCAGAAATTAGCTCAGTATCTTGGAAGTACGCACGTTGATCATTGATGAATCCCTGGAGATGCCTTCCGTGTTAGCTAAAAGCTAGCCAATTAAAGGCTACCCCAAACACCGAGACGCTACGTCCGATTGAGGCTGTTTGGTAAACCATTATAACGCCATTCTCCTTCAGCACTGAATGCCGAGTCACTTAAAGTTAGCTGACTTAGCACCTGGCCCGTCGACAACAGTACGCCCGCTTAATGGGACGCGCTGCGGTCTGTGGTAGACAGACAGCAGCAACACCACAGTGAGCTTCAGTCTGCCTGGAGTTTATATATTAACCCTCTGCTAAGTCTGTCAGGATACCCTTTAAATCATGTAAAGATTATGGTTTCAATATAGTTCATACTTTTTGTCCAATGTCATGCTTATTACACATTACATATAAAAAAGAGGGTCTTTATTCAGTTTTGTTGACTTTGTTGTGATGCACATAGCCTGGCATACACAGCTGAGGGTAAAGAATGGATGATTTGTTCGCTCCTTTGTGGGGTTCAATCGAGATTTTAGTGGCGATGCTACAGTTAGATCAGACGCAAGATGGTACTACAGTACTAGTATCACGTCCATGACCTGGTTGAATGAGGTCAACTTGAGAGGCATTCGTGTGCCTGTGCCAGTGTTTCGTTTAAATTTTATTTGTAAAATGACAAACATCCTAAATGAATGACTTCACGTGGTAACAGACGTGCTGATTACAGGCAAAGGTTATAAATGGCGTGATAGTTGTATGGCTGGATTAACAGTGAAATATGCAATTTTGATTATCCCACTAAATGCAGCAGGCGATCCTATTTTAGGCATCATTCACCTGCGCTGTTTTTTAAATGTAGTTTTCTTTTTTATATGACACAATCACATTTAAAATGAACATACAATTTATATGGATTTTTTTTCCGGATGTATAACTATGTATAGGCTATCACAAGTGACGTTTTATCATTACGTCCCTTTGTAAAATATTCTCACACCCCCATATTAATACGTTCAATGGACGTGTCCTGCTGGAACTGACCATTTGAGTTTTAGTGGACAATACATTTAACGTTATTTCATCTTTACCGCAATGCCAATCCAACTATAAGAAATTAGCACATATTTTCAATCTTAAATATATTTGTTCGTGTATAATTTTCTTCAATTTTTGTGTGAACCGACTTAGGTTCTAGGTGGGCTACCCCTGCCACTGTTATGGAATCTTCCTGCCACTTCCTTGTTCGAACTTTTGTTTTGGGGAAGGCTTGGGCATAAGTTTAGTGAGGCTGCTACTATGATTTGATTTTCCGAAAATGTCAGCGCCATGACCCATAAAATTGGTAGAAGTTGGCTGGTAGGAGGCATAGCTATCATTGTAGTCGTGTCCAGAAGAAGCTCGCGAACGTTGCTATAGTGTTCCACATAGAGAACAAGAAGATGTCCGTAGCTAATGTTAGCGAAGACATTCGGATGGAGTTCCCACTGCACTCTTCAGTTTGGGAGAATAATTACAGGAAGCTGGAGCAGCAAATTACACTACTGCAGGTTAGTGTAGTAGCTTTGTAGCCCAAAATGCAAAGTACGAATATTTGTTAGCCCACGGAGCTAGGAAACTGCTACGAGGAAATAGTGGGCCGCCTTGTTTGACAGATCCTGCTCATTGCCACACGTTTGACGTTCATATCGACGTGATTTGGTTTTCTGTCGACTCCTTTCAGTTTTTTTTCCACTAGTACCATCTTAAATTAGTCATCTACGTCTCATTTAAACAGGTACAATCACCGGTCACAAATAGCTATGCCCGCTCAATCAATTCACTTTAAACGACCAGTGATCAGTTTTGATTGACACTGCCAAATACGTTTTTGCCTTTTACACTGATTATACATGAACTTATAGTTTGTAAATTGCTACATCAGCGCAATTGTATTTTAAATAATTTGGTTTGTTTAACGAAAGAGGAGAAAAGTGTGCAGTAGTATATAATGTTGTGTTTTTATGTAGATTCAATGTGTGCCTGTTTTATTCAGCTCTGTAATGCAATCTTTCCCCATAGTCATTGAGGCAAGGCACATATTGTACATTTAATAAGTCTCCCATTTGACCAATCAAACCAATAATTGTCAGTCGGGTTGGAGTATGGGCGGCCTGGCCCGGTGCTGCAGTGGTTAGTGCGTTGACCTCGCAGTGCAGAGGTACCGGGTTCAATTCCAGCTGCGGCCTCCCTGTGAGGAGTTTGCATGTTCTCCCCGGGCCTGCGTGGGTTTTCTCCGGGTATTCCAGTTTCCTCCCACATTCCCAAAACATGCATGGCAGGCTTATTGTGAACACTCTAAATTGTTATTTTGTGAGCGTGGATGGTTGTTCATCTCTGTGTGCCCTGCGATTGGCTGGTAACCGGTTCAGGGTGTCCCCTGCCTACTGCCTGAAGACGGCTGGGATAGGCTCCAGCACCCCCCCGCGACCCTTGTGAGGATAAGCGGATCGGAAAATGGATGGATGGTTTGGAGTACTGTGAGAGAGAACTATAAACTCTATTTCTACGTCTGATTTTTTTTTAGAACCTTTAGACACAAGTATACATATGTAAATGGTTTTACTTTCATTGCTCTTATTTAGTGTGTAGACGTGAAAAGTATAACCTATTCACTTCAAGTAAAAAAGCTTTAATTTTAAAACATCTCTTCCATCTCACCGGCAAACAATAAAATGCCGCAAAAAGTATATGCCGAAAATAATGGTGATCTCGCCTCAATTTACTCACAATTCTTCTCAATCGGTGTGAAATCTGGGCTTGTTTAGTTGAACACAAGGATTTTGTTGTAGCGACTTCCCATCCATCCCAACTGATTTCTAACACTAACTCGTAAACATCGTCTTCATGAATCAAAAAAAAAGGTGTTCTAATTCCATGAGCTCAAAACATAATTTTGTGTCATGATGGGAATAGTTGAGAGCATTTAAAGTTCTTTTAAAGTATTGAACTACTGTGTGCAATTTAACAGTAATGTGTTAATTGTAAAGTACTATGAACTATGCATTAATTGTGTCATTAAGAAGAGTTCTGCATGTTCTTTTGGAATTCCCCAGAATGACATAGAAACTGTGGATCCGAGAGGTCGGACACCTTTGCACCTGGCTGTGTCACTCGGACACTTGGAGTCAGTGAGAGTCCTCCTGAGACATGGAGCTCAAGTTACTCAAGAAAATGCCAATAATTGGACAGGTTAGCATTCAACCGCTCCGTGCACTGCTGTTTCCCCGAAAGTGTCTCACCGCTTTACGTTTCTTTGCCGTTTCTGCCGGTTGTAACTCCTTTTATCTACCGGTAAACATTTGTTTTTATCTATCTAGTCCTGCAGGAAGCCATCAGCACGGGAGATCCAGAGATGGTTCAGTTAGTTCTGCAACGGAGGGACTACCTGAAAGCATCCACCGCTTTGGAAGGAGTACCGGAGCTTTTGTCAAAGATCCGAGAGGTTTAACTTACAAACTTTTTTCCCCCTCTTCATTTTCAGCGACATTTCATTTAGTTTATAAAACAAACCTGTTGCTTTATTTCTGTTTTTCATCCACAGTCACCAGACTTCTATATGGAAATGAAGTGGGAGTTCACCAGCTGGAGTAAGTTCTGTGTGAAAATAGTGTATGTCTTATTTTTCTTTGCACGGTCACTGTCAGGGCTGTAAAAACATTGTTGTGCTGAATTTAAAAATATACACATCAACACGAAGGCTATTCAGGTCATACTGGATCAACTACATTATTTAAAATGACTCATAATATTTCCACGTCCCTTTGTTTTTTTTGTATTTTCAAACAATGATTTTTCTTATACACTGTTGCTTCACAGTCCCTCTTGTGTCCCGGGTATGCCCAAGTGATGTGTGTCGAATTTGGAAAAGTGCAGCAAGCCTTCGCGTGGATGCCACCCTTCTCGGCTTCGAGAACATGACTTGGATCAGAGGGCGAAGGAGCTACCTTTTCAGAGGAGATGGTGTGTGTGTGTCGCGAACAAAAAATGAAGAGAGTGACGTTGTCCGATAAAATGCAACTCAACGAGCTCCTCGACAGATTCGTGCGCAGAGTTGATGGAGGTGAACCATGACGAGCAAGTGGTGGACACGGAGCGTTTCATCATATCACAAGAGATGGAGGATGTCACACTTGAGTCAATGCAGCCAGCGGAACAAGAAGTGGCCAAAAGGTTGACCACGCCAATTGTCAACACCTACTTGGACACCAAGGACATTGCTTTTGAGAGGCAAGGATCTCATTCCATTCGCATATTGGCTTCTTCGCAGCTTGCGCTCTGTGCTTGCACTCAAATCCACTTGAGTGGGATTTCTTCCAGTTTTACTGCTCTGAGAGAGTATTTGACCGGGAGCATGGTTACAATTTCTGGAAATCCTTTACCTTATAGCTTTTTATCACCTGTATTGAATCCTTACTGACAACACATTGTGCACATTCCCTTTTAATGACATTTTTTTTCTTTTTCTTTTTTTTGGACAGGAACAAGGCTGGGATTTGGGGCTGGAGGACAGACAAAACCGAAGTGGTCAACGGATTTGAAACAAAGGTTCAAAGAAATGGTCTTTTATCAATGAAAAAAAAACAAAAACACTAAAATGCATGTAATTTCCAAGGCAATCATTTCTGTCATCTGCCCTTTTGCTTTCTTAGGTTTTCAGTGTGAACAATGTGAATGTAGTCATCAGGACGAGGACTGAACATCTTACAGATGAAGAGAAAGCCCGGATAAAAAGTAGGTGGGGGGAAAAAAACGTATTTCAGCCTAAAAGGGGACACATATACTTTTTAATTACTGGAATTCAATGTAAGTGTAAAATTATACAACTAAGTAAACCTTTTGTGAGCTGCCTATGTCTGAAAATGTCTCTGTGAGCAAGGCGTCGCGAATTTTGAAAAGAACCAACAAGGTCGTGGCGCAATCAAGTGTCTTTCATAAGAAAAATGGATGGAGAATTTCATCACGGCTTCAGCTGTCAAAGTTGCTCTCTCGCTTTGGAGCTTCAGCCGGTCTAGCTGCCGAGTCATTGGTGGAGAAGCGTTGTGCAGAGATGGGTATTATGTTAATTAGCCCCACTGTTGCGCACAAGTACAGAAACGCTTCCTCACAGACACATTTTTAGGAATCAGCAGACAACTTAAAATGTACTTGGTTGGCACGCTGGAAACCTGACTATTTGCGCACAAACATTTTAAAAGTCACGCGTCACTCACTTATGTGTGTATAGCTTTTGTTCTTCGAAAAAGGTGAATGTGGACTTTCTGTTCAAAGGTGAAAGGAACATTTTGGAGTCTCTGCTTGGGACAGTTGAACAGCACATAAGTGCACAAGGGGTAATACGCGCATCCTGTATTCAAACACGTTGGCTACATACACTTCGCAACCACAGCAGACTACCCATGCACATTCCAATGAAGTAAAATACAAGAGCTTGTTGAAAAGTGACCAAAAGAAAATGAGAATGGCCCTTTTCGAACAGGGAGCACGAGTGGGAAAGAAATGTTTCTCTATTTCTCGTTTAGCAAACCACTTCCTGCCTCTAAGAGCATGACACAAAACCTTAGAAATGGACCGGAAGTGATATTTTGATGTAGGCTAGTAACTGAACCAGCAATAAGTGAGAATGTATTCCTGTAACATTAATCATATTTTTGTAGTTTTCAGTGTGTTCGATTGACCATTTGGTGCGACCTGTCAACCTCTTACTGTTAACAGGACCTGACACTTGAATACGCAACCGCCACAAACCCCACAGCCATCACTCCAGAGGAATATTTCGATCCCAATTTCAATTTGGGGAACAGAGACATCGGCCGACCGATTGAGCTGAGCGTGCGAACGCAAAAGTTAGACGACAATCCTTGAGACACTTCAAAACCTAGTTTTCATCTGTATTCCGCATCGGCATTCAAGCAGCGTTCCCTTCTCACGCAGGTTTAAAGGGACATTGTGGATGAGCGAAGATCATCCTCTGTCCCTGGTGGAGCAGGTGACCCCCATCATTGACCTCATGGCTCGGACCAGCTCGCATTTTGCACGGCTACGAGACTTTGTCACGCTGAAATTCCCTCCTGGATTTCCGATCAAAATTGGTGATTGCCATCATGTTGAGAACCAGGAAACACACTTTGTGTGTATGTGTGTGGAGCATCCAAATGATGTCGTGATTTTTTTTTTTCTGCTTTGCAGAGATTCCTCTATTTCATGTGCTGAATGCCAGAATTACTTTTGGTAACGTGAATAAATGCAGCACCGAAGAGGAAGCCAACATAACACCAGCAGCCACACCGTCATCCACAGGAGACGACGAAGAGGCCAGAGGTAGAAACGTACTCAACCGCGCAAGCAAATAGATCAATCTCTGTCTTTGCTCCTCACCTGTGGCTTTCGTGCGTATCCAGTCCCTCCAACATTCCGGGTGTGTCCGTCTGTGTTTGCAATACCTGACAACTACCACCGCCGAGGGGGCAGCCGTCACGCTCCTGCGTCCTCAAACGACGAGGAGTTTTTGCAGTACGCAATCCATCAAAGTCTCTTGGACTCCCACATAGGCTCAGACCAGGTGAGGTCCCACCGATCGTTCTTCATATGCTTCCATCCGTCCTCCTCTCTTATCCATTCTACTGGGAACGCTTGTCACTATTTTGTCGCTGCAGGATGGCATCGGGAATGATCCACACGGCGAATACACCGACGCCATGGTCAGCAGCCAGAGTGACAGGTAGATTTTCACACGATCATGTGATGTAGACGACCGTCGCTGAAACTTCTCATGATCGCATTTTAGACATTCTCTGTAATTAGTACAGTACATTCTGACAGATGGATACAGAGACTAATTGCACCTTCTGCCATTTAGCTGAAGAGCATTTAAGGAGACTTAAATGTCACACAGATACTGTACATTATTTGTAGTAAAAAATAATAATCAGAACAATGAAGTGAAATTGGATAGTTTCCTGCGGCATACCTCGCAATCGCTCACGACATACAGTACCCATGCTCACAGCGGTCTGGAATGGCCAAACATTTCTGATTTGAGATGCAGACTTGGCTTCTCACAAATAACTCGGTGGCTTCTGTGATTCCAGGAGTATCCCAGAGGGGGTGCTAGTGGATTATGCCGACACCTCCAGCCCCACAAGCACTTTCTCCGCCTCAAGCCACGACTCCGAGCTCCACTTGGCCATGGAGCTTTCTGTGCGGGCACAAGAGCGAGAGGAGCGGCTGAGGAAGCAGGAGGAAGAGGAGCTGGAGCGCATTTTGCAGCTGTCACTCACTGAAAAGTAGAAGGATGAAGAGGGAATCGGGATCGATCTGAAAGCAGGCCGCCTCATCTCACCTCAGTGACAATTGCCGCTTCCTGTATTCTATGCAAAAGCAGATTTTCCCTTTAACAGCCTGCTCTTTGCACAGGCAAAACTTTCCTGTCTTAACTTTTGAAAGCGCGTTTTGGGCTAAGAGGATACATGTTATTTCCGTACCTACATTCTCCGTCTTCCAGTTTGATCAGTGCGCTCTGAGGTGTTGTGGGCTTTGAGTCCTTTCAGCAGCAGTCACATTCATATCTTACTCTTACGGCAGCTCCTGAGAATGTTATCAAAAATGACTACTTCAAGTGACTCCACATAATAAGTTGGCACGCCCACTTAACTCTTCGGTTTATGTTCTTGGCTTAACTCGAATCCTAAATCTCTGATGTGGTAGTTTGGGGAATATAAATATTCCCATAGCGCTATTTTGCTGATGACCATGAAGAGTTTGATGCTACAAGCCATTTCCATTTGGCAACGGAAATCTCAGGGTCAAATATTAACAACCCTCTTTTTTTGGAGATAACTTTTAAACTACTGGTAATTTCACATACAGTATCTCTGCCATACTACTAACTCAAAGTACATGCAGGTTTCTTGTACTTTTCAGAAGGCCAAGAAAATGCTGCAAGAGACTGAACATTTCTGCAGCAATTGTATATATAAAGTTCTTTTGTTTTAAGTGGAATTTGTATGAATGGGGGGGCGGGGGCTGCCTGAGCAAATACCAGCATTATTGCCTCTGTTCAAAAATGCAACAGCAGTCCTGATGTTTCCTCCTGTAGCGACAAACAGCAAACCTCTTGATTGTGTGCAGGCATGTCAGGATTTGATGATTTGTTCTTTCAGCATGTGCCAACAGACATTTTGTCTGTTACATGATGGAAAGTTTAGCTGGTGCCACTCAAAATTTAGTAAGTTTTTTCCCCCTGTCCAATAGGAAGCAAGACATAACCACTGTGATGTTGGATAACCACTACAGTGTAGTTATTTTTCTTATGACCAACCACTAACTTGAGCCCTTTGTGCACATCTTACCCACTGTGGTACATGATGGAAAAACGAGCCGTTATAATGATATCATTTTGCCAACCGTTTCATAAAGGCCAATTTTTGCTTCAATCAACCGAGATCTTTGTAACATACCATTTGAGGTGCAGCTGTTCTTAAAATAAAAGCACTTTATTTCCATAAGTACTCTGACAGTGACTTCATGCACTTTCTGAGAATACAGACATATTTAACAAACCTACACTTTCACATTATTCCACTGTATCAAAAATAATGCCTTGAATAGGCAAGTAATTGATAGTTTTGATTGCATTATCAAGGGGGGGGGTTCAAGTTAAAACAAGACGTATATGATTAAACAATTATTGTGACTTGACAGTACACGATAAACATGACCTGTGACAAAATAATCAGTTTGACGTGCAATCCAATCTCCGTGGTTAGCTCCTAGGTCAGCACTTCCAAATATGGGCATACTAGCCACGACGGCAACGTCGTTTTTTTTGGTCCTGTCACGCAGAGTGGTTGCAGTATGGATGGATCTCATTCAATTGCGTAGGTTTAATGAGCAACACTTCACTCAAGTAGTGTTGAAAACACCCAAAACATTTATTTACATATATTCTTCACTTAAAATAAATAACAGATATAACTCAAACACTGAATTTCTACAAGCATAATTTGGAAACTGTATATTGCATGAGGTGGTATCCAGTTGCCTGTAATAAATAAATGGACAAGAGGTAGAGCCACTCGAAGGCCCACCTTTCTCTGGGGGGGTGGATTTGATCACCGCTGAGTGGCCCTTTTAGATGGTGTTTGATGTCGAGTCTCTGTCCGTGGGACTGAGGAGTGAGGCTCACACGCTCAGCGCCTGGGTAGAGGCTTGTAGACGCACACGGCCATGATGATCATCAGCAACAGCAGGACACCGACGACGCTCCCCAGCGCGACTGTACACAATAACCGCATCAACCCATTCAATTGGAACGGCTTGTTTGACAGTTTTCCGATTGTCGCTTACAATGGGGCAGAAAACGATCGAAACGAGAAAAGGCGTGGTCAAACCTCGGGAAGACTTGGAATGAATCATCCGCGCTTGAATTTGTTTTTGTCTCTTACCCAAATTTTGTTTCTGTAAGACCGTGTAAGGTCTCTCGGAAACTGTAGACTCTTCGTCTTGACCACCCACCGATACCATTAGTGACATCATGAATAAAGCCTGTGGGAGAGCAGCTAGCATCACAGCAGGGGAAGCAGAAGAAACGATGGTGATGAGAATGATGTTGATGATGAGGCTGATGAGAGAGAGCGCTTCCGCTGTGGGAACAGGGTCCTAAACCCGTCGAATGATTAGACTGAGCTCAAATCAACTCACTGGAATGGAAGATTAAAATTGTGGAACTAATGAGATCCGGTCATTAAATATGCCTACACAAAGATAATACGAGACGCATTACACGGTTTTGTGATTTGAAACTGTGACTGAATTTAACTGAGAGAGGACATTTTGGAGCAAAACAGCTATAACTAGCATGCAAAGCAACTACTAGGGCTTGGCAATGTTCTTATCTGCTCGTCTCAGTCAAAACAGACGCTGGCTTTGGAAAATTGCGTCCATAACAATCCGGATGGTTCTTTTCCTCTTTGGCTCGGAGGACAGTATGTCATCAATTTCTCATAGCAATTTGAAATGTGGACTCGTCAGACCACATAACACTTTGCATCAGTCCATCTTAGATGAGCTCGGTCCCAGAGAAGCCGGCTGCGTTTTTGGGTGTTGTTGAAAAATGGCTTTTATTTTTCAGAGTTAAGTTTTAAGTTGCACTTACGGATCTAGCTCCGATTTACATTTACTGACATTGGTTTTCCGAAGTGTTCCTGAGCCCGCGTGGTGATTTTCTGAACCTTGTGATGATACTATGGACGGTAGACAATGAAATCCATAAATTCCTTGTAACTGTACACTGAGTGACATTGTTCTTAAACTGTTCAACTATTTTCTCATGCACTTGTTTACAGAGTGGTGTACCTCGCCCCATCTTTGCCTGTGAATAACTGAGCAATTCAGGGAAACTCCTTTTAAGCCCAATCGACAGTTCGCCTGTTCACCTGTGGGATATTTCACACTCTTCCCTTTGCAATGTATTCAGTTGAAAATAATGTGAACATGATTTGCTAATCATTGGATTATGTTTCTATTTCTGTTGAACCCAATGTGCCACCTTCTTTTGAATTGGGTTTGTAAATAAGGACAGGTTTGACATTTACGACTGTCAGCCTCAAATGTTTTCCGAGGCAGACTGATAAGGAAAAATTACTTTTCTTTTCGAGACATCCGATAAATTTGTTGTCTTTGCTCAGAAGCTGTGTTTGAGGGGTGGGCGGGGGGTGATTGGTGCCCATACCTCTCCCAATTATTGCATGTAGTGCACCCGTCTTAAAGTTATTGATGGAATTATGTGAAAAAAAAAATTAAACATTTGGCGATGATCAACAGGTCAATGTGATGAAACTCTTAATAGTTGCAGCAGATCCATGTACAAATATAGACCTACTGTAGTCACCGCTGGTTGTTGCTACAATCCAAAGTTGGATGACCATGCAGCAGCCATGTTTACAGGTCTCGGTAGTGGTGCTACTTGGCGACCTACGGTAAAAACAGTACCAAATCTCACATCTTAACTGGAAACCATCATTCAAATGTGAGGCCTCCATCACGTTTCACATCTCTGAAATGTCAAAGAGCAATCAAGAAATGATGTAAAGGTCAAGCTCCTTGAGGTTATATCCTTATGTAATTACTTTGCACGAATGATGTCTATGGCCTTTACCTTCATCCCTATAGAACTTGTTTGTGTGCATCGTTTTAATGCTCCTAGTTCACAGCAAAGCTTTTTTGAGAGATGGGAAGTAACATTAATACCGATACCTTTGCCGCTATACTTATAATTACCGGTACTATATCGGGTCGGAGATTCTGGTGTTTCAAATTAAGTCCTTTGATTTTGGATACTGAAATGGTTTAGTCCATTTTTTTCTTCTTATATACTGTACTTCAGTGCATTTTCATCAGTGGATTTGAGCATTGTCATACAAGGAGCCTATTACCGTGCTTTCATCACATTTGCTTAGGTAATGTGTTCTGTTGCCACAACCTGTACCATAGTACCCCGAACTATCAAACAACCATCTATCCATCCATTCATTTTCTGATCCGCTTTATCCTCACAAGGGTCGCGGGGCATGCTTTAGCCTACCCCAGCTGTCTTTGGGCAGGAGGCGGGGACACCCTAAACTTGTTGCCAGCCAATCGCAAATACACACAGGGAGACAAACACCCATTCGCGCCCGCACTCACACCTAGGGACAATTTGGAGTGCCCAATGAACCTGCCATGTATGTTTTTGGAATGTGGGAGGAAACCGGAAATTCTAATCAATTGTGACCAGTTTTGGTCACAATTTGACATCACAAAGAGGAATAATGTGCATCTTGTCAGGTAACTGCTACCTTGAACTGTTAACACCCTCTCCTATTTTTTTTTTAATGGCAGGCACGAGACTATTATTGGCCTCATATTCTATGTCGTCAAATATTCATTTTGACTAATTGACTTTAAATTAAACTACCGGTACACATAACAAATGGTGTGCGAGCCAGTGGTCAAAAATATATAGCCTCGACTTGAATGTTGAGGGAATATAATATAGTTCCCCGAGAAGTCTATTTGGTGTTGTTGGATTTAAGTAAATTGTCGATCCCTGAATACATGAACAAGTCTTGAATATTTTCTAATTTTCTTTCATTAAGAATGAATGTATCAAATCTATTTGGTTTATAGTCAATTTAGTACATTTCCCTCCCATTCAGTGTCAAGCCGCTCATGTTTGGTAGGTGGAGGAACAGCTTCCTTTTCAGAAACATCTCTTTTATCTGATTGCTGTGGTCGACTTCAATAGTCGCTGACACAAAGACGCTTTGAACATCGGCTAGAAGCTCCATAATGGATCATACCGTATGTTATAAGCTACTTTATGATCTTGTGTATGTTCCTACCTGTGGTCTTAAAAGTGGCAGGGCTTGGTTCCCTGACAAAGAAAACTAAAAAAAGATCTTAAAAAAAAAAAAAGGCCTTTAATGGACCAGAATACATGTTTGCATGTGTGTTTGTTGAATAGGCGTTTTGTGTTTCGCTCCTCAATAGATGTACAGTACCGTGTATTATGTGGGAACTGGTCTGCCGTTGCAGACACAAAAAAAACCAACAACAACAAAAAAAAAAACCCAAGTGTGCTTCTTCTTAGTTTTTGAGGTCAGAGGTTATTTTTGTGTATTTCAAATTAGCATCCATCCATCCATTTTCCAATCCGCTTTATCTTCACAAGGGCTGCGGGGGTGCTGGAGTCTATCCCAGCTGTCTTTGGGCAGTAGGCAGGGGGCACCCTGAACAGGTTGCCAGCCAATCGCAGGGCACACAGAGACAAACAACCATCCGTGCTCACATTCACACCTACGGACAATTTAGAGTGTCCATTCAGCCTACCATGCATGTTTTGGGAATGTGGGAGGAAACCAGAGTACCCGGAGAAAAGCCACGCAGGCACGGGGAGAACATGCAAATTCCACACCGGGAGGCCGGAGCCGGAATTGACCTCAAATTATCATGCTAGTTAAATTTGATATGAAATGATGTAAGCCTACTTTAAATTATAACTGGGTTTGCCAGCTCATAAACATAAAACGATTGCTGCATGTTTTTTTTTTTTTTTGGAGTAATATTTGAATTTCACTCCTCCTGTTAGATCACAGTAAAACCAGCCCAAATAAATGAATTACAATATCATCTATATTCTGGAATGAATTCAGACATTTACTGAAACAATGTAATTACAGCCATCATGACTTTTCTCATCACACCACAAGATGAAGTCAGAGCGCTTGTATAGAAGAGAAGTTAACACATTTGACTAATGTTGAAAAGAAAAAAACAGGTGTCTTCAACTGGAGAGGCACAATATCAACACAACCTTGACCCAATTTTGTACAATGATATTTAGGGAAGAATAAGGCAAAACAGGCAATTTGCAATTTTCGGATGTTTTAAACAGTCGCTACATCACCACCAATTTGCTTTTAGGATTAAGATACTTCTGCTGTATTGTATCTTGTGACTCTTGACCGACTCATCTCTAACATTGGTGGGGCGGTAAATTAGGTCCTCATCCATGGGAAAGACTTCAGTCTTGTTTGATTTATTTTAATTTTCATTAAAAAAAAAAAGTCTGACAGCTGGTATAGAATCCTACATATCACATGTATATTACCAATAATAACATATAATAAAAGTATCAATGTCACTGTTTAAAAAAAAAAGGTTAACCCACATGTGTTAACGATATAAAAGCATACACAAATTAGTATTCACTTTAAAAAAAATAACTGAACACACATCTAACTTTTATTACGGTAGTTTTGGAAAACAGCGATCGGTTTGAGGAAATACCCCCGCGTGCAATGCAATGCATGCTGTTATTTTCCTTCCTTACCGTACGTCACTGCGAAAAAAATACAGGGAACAGACTTTGAGAGACTAATGCTAGGAAAACTTGACATTGTCCCGTTGATGCAGACATATCTGTGAGCACACAAACAAGTATTTATGAAATTTTAGCAAAACGTACCTATTACTTTGTAATTCAGCATTAGCTCGATAAGTACCCCAAAATGTATTTTGTGTGTTCACAGACCTGTTTGAGAGAGCCTGGTGTCCATACCATTTTGTATACCATGTAAATGGGGATCCACATTAAGGATGAGAAGCCAATGATATATCCAACTGTGATGCTCCAGTCCGGGTACTGATAGTCAAACAATGTGAGTAGTGGGGCTTTCAGCAGCGAACTCACCATGATATACTAAAAATAGAGGGGAAACGCGACATGACCATACAGGTGAGACGGAATTCTTCCTATCCTGGGCATGGTTTGGGTTCAGGTGAATTCTACATCTTCATGAATATGCATGTTTGGGCTGGAAATGTAGAAAAAACGTGAGCAATGTGTGTTTGTTGATATGAGCGTGGTTGTGAAAATGTATTCCAAAATATATTTGATGTAATGTGTGGATGGAAAAAAAATAATTTTGATTTTTTTAGGGTTTTTTCCCACATCAGACAATTTTGCCAAAAATGGGAATAACGAATGTAGAACACTGTAATATTTTTACTTTATAAAAACCGATAGTAAGAGCATAATTAAACAGATTGTAAAGAAATATATTTGATGTAATGTGTGGATGGAAAAAAAATCATTTTGATTTTTTTAGGGTTTTTTTCCACATCAGACAATTTTGCCAAAAATGGGAATAACACTATAATATTTTTACGTTATAAAAACCGATAGTAAGAGCATAATTAAACAGATTGTAAAGAATTTAAAGGCTAGTGCACGATGATTAATTCATTGATGATCAATTCCCTATGGTGTGCAGACTTTGGTAACCCGGCGCCAGTATAGTACAGACCCAAACAAAGACGATTTTCACAACTACTGTAAGTGACTCAGCAGCTAGTTTTACACAGAGGATAAAGACAATATGCTTGTGAGTATTATTATGTTTGTCTAAATGTGTTGCTGCACCCTCTGTGTTCGATTATTTTACGTAAAACATTAAAATGCCGCCACACAAATGCTGTTCATTAGCCCTTTGATGGCATTTCCCATTGCGTGTTTGCATGAAACTCGCAGACTTAAAAGCAAAGTTATGTAGTTATTTCAACTACACAACATGTAATTCTCTTTGTGTTATGTTTAGTTTGACTGTAAACCTCCACTGCGAGTGACAACAAACAGCTCGAAGCCTCTTTTTTGAAGAATTGTTCACAACCTGCCAGATTGATCCTTATTTTGTTGTGAGTTGAGTCGATTTGCCTGCCACCATACAGTGCTCATATCTGACATGTTTGCTGGCAAAAAAAAAACAAAAAAAAATTGGCTCGTATCTCATATATTGGGTCCAGTGCTCATATCTGACATGTTTGCTGGCAAAAAAACAAAAAAAAAAATCGGCTCGTATCTCATATATCGGGTAACTTGGTAGCGCTGGCGAAATATTGTGCCCCGCCCCCCAATCCCCCATCATTTGAGTTGCTCATCCCTGAACTTGATAATGTATGTGAAGTTAATATTTATAGAAATATTTGCAACACATAATATTTCAGGCCAGTTTAATTGTTTTCATCCAAATTTCTGCCAAAATAAATAGAGACTTCTTACCGCCAAAAAGGCTGGACTAATACCAACCCAGCACACCTTCCAAAACAGTCCTGGTGCTTTGCCCAGCATGGCTTCAACATCATTGCTGAATCTGTTGATACCTGAAAGCAGGATGAGGAAGACAAAACGCTTCTGGTTTTGTATCTTGCAGTTGATTCTCTAATGCTGCAATCACGGGAAAACAATTGCCCAGTCAGTCAGTCTCGTGTTTACCGTAGAACCAGGCAACTGCAATGGCCTCAAGGAATCCCACGGCAATGATGGAACATCCCACCCCGAACTCCTCCAACAGCTTCACAACGTAGGCACCGCCCTGCCATTCAGCCAACGTGAAGTCATTTATTTTGTCCTCCCTAAAATACATCATCTCGACACATGACAAGAATGATCAAGCGGTCAAAAATCAACACAACATCAACCACAACATACATTAGTAAGGGTACTCAAAGAGCCCAGAAAGCAGACCAGCACCAAGCAAAGGACAAAAAGTTCACGTCTCTGAGACAACTGATCGGGGTATTCATCCAACACGGCCGTGATGATCGCCTCCAGACCACCAAACTGCAACAGATGGAGAGCATTTGTCCCCACAATGTTACATTTTTTGGCTCTATCTATCACAGCCTGTACCTTTTTAATCTATACGCTATCTGCGATTTGTCTAATTGTAACAGCCTGGAACAGGAATAACGTGTATTTGCCATTAGACGAGATAATGACATCAAACATAGGGGAGCATTTGTTTCCAAGCGATTAAGTTGTGATTTGACTTGATTATGTACTGAATGCAGGTGTCAGGACGTACCGTACTGTCCAGCCCCAGAGTGATCATCATCACAAAAAATATGATGGCAAAGAAAGTTGAGCCCACCATGTTGGCGATGGCCTCGGGGTACGTGATGAAGAGCAAACTGGGTCCTGAGATCAGGACAACATATTATGACGTCGGCGGGAAAATATAGACAGTGTTTAATGTCTTGGCATCACCTTTGTCTCTGGCCACATCTTCAACTTTCAAGTTTCTCATCTCCGCCATGTAGCCCAGCACTGTAAAGATGACGAACCCTGACACGAAACTGGTGACGCAGTTCACCAAACTGGTCACAATGGCATCACTAAAGAAGCATAAAAGAAAAGATTTATCAAAAAAAAAAAAAAAAAGAGTTTACCATCAGCTGCACACATTATTTGTCAACCTGGGGGGGTTAAAATCAAATTTCTCTCTTGTCTGCTTGCAGCTTAACATGTTTAATCGACATATCTTCTCTGTGTGCGTCGACAACTATTCTGCTGTAGCTCTTACCCGTCTTACAAATAATTGCCTTTCAAATATTTCACTGCCCTGCGATTGGCTGGCAACCAGGTCAGGGTGTCCCCATGCCTACTGACCGAAGATGAATATACAAAAATGAATAATAGTGAAAAACATGGATTATAAATTACCATATGATAAGAGAAAAATACAGGGTTTAAAAAAAATGTCACCATTATGTAGTACAATAACACAAATTCAAATTTTAAAAATATGGGTCAACTTAAGTTTCAGTTTAACAGTGTATTACATGAGCTGTTTTTCAGGTTGACATTCTCTTGTGATGAAAAGACATTTTGTCTGTTGGAATATGCTTAAGAACAGTCAAACGAGAGTGTGCTGCGGTTTCAGTTGCAGTTTCAAGGATATTCAAAAAGAATAACGTACACCGATTGGAAGGCTAGAATTGAACAGGGCACAAAACAATCGGACGAGTCACTTCTTACCGATAGCAATTGTTAGTGAACGGGTTATAGCTGGAGAGTGCCAGGAGCACTCCAAAGCCTGGACCAAGCGAGAAGAAGATCTGAGCGGCAGCATCCACCCATACCTTTAAAAAAAAATGTGGAGAGGAAAACGCAAATGCAAATGAAAGTGTAACAAAATCATTAAGGTGAAATCCCCAATAACTCATCATTGTTAATTCCCTAAAGTGTGTCGGAGCTAAGTGGTGTTGTTTGTCATGAAAGCATATACTGTAGCTGCCATGTTGCCACCCTGCAGCTGTACGCAGGGAGATCTGAAGAGCAGCATGTTAAAAAGAAGAGGGCAGCCTTGTGAGTCAGAAAAGGGAGGCCTTTGTTAATGGGCAGAAAATCTAAACCAATTATGCATCTCATTATGCCGCTCTGTAGCTTATTTATGCATCTCATTTCATCTCATCCATATTCGCCTCGGATAAGGCTCGCACAGGTTTTAGTAAACCGCTTCACTGAGCCAGAGGGCGAGAGATACGGTAACAGCCTTTTATTATCAGTTTCTCAACGGATCTCAGTGTAAAATAAAATCGTATTTGCTGTTATTATTATTGCATTTTTGTTTGAGTTTGCCGAACGTTTCAAAAAGATATGAGAACGTGGCAGAAGACTCAAATCATGTTCTCAAACAGGACGATTTTTATTTTCTATCTTGTCAAAAAGTCCCATTCCCAAAATGACTCCGTCGCTTTCTCAGTATAGGCATATCCAATGTTCAAAATGAATAGTGAGTAGAATACTCTATAATCCAAAGCATGGCTTAACCCAGAGTCAAGATGTGGTCAAGTGTAAAGATATATTTTTGAGGAAATCATTTAGGTTTCTTGTTTCCCATTTACACACTCAAGAAAATACGATCACTTGCATTTTAGTTTTTTACTTCTAACAGTGGAGTGCAGACAAAATTCACAGGAGAGGCAGAAAAACTGCTGAAGTTGAAAGGGGTGATGCAGCAAGGTCAAACCTTAGACGAGTAATTAAACATTTATACTGTAACGCTCTGTAAAAAGGGTTACGATCGCATAAATCCTTTGGATATGTTTACTTTTCAGAGAACTAGACCACTCACACTGGTCTCTAGAAGCTTCTCCCAATTGGGTTTTAGGTAAAATTCCACGCCTTTCCAAGCACCTGGCAGAGTTGCACCGCGGATCAGCAGGATGAAAAGGACAATGTAGGGCAGAGTGGCGGTCACCCATACAACCTGGGCGCAAAGGAAATAAGTCATCATCATCTGTCATGTGAGGAAAGGGGTGCAGGGCAGTGACACTGTGTTACCTTTCCAGAAGTCTTCACCCCCTTCCAGAGACTGAAGTAAACTATGGTGAAAATGAGGAAAAGGCAGAGCGTCAGCTGCCAACGGACACCTCCCACATTTGCCAGACCTGACGACTTGTGGATCTCAAGGACATTCCTCCTGTTAGGATTCAACGCATCCTGCCATCAGCACACAGTCAACATTCAAGACTCCACTCTTACTTAACAAGACACTTTAACTGTATTCACCCGACATGCTTTTTATTTTTAGTCACACTTACATGCACTTACGTGTAAAATTCCTCTGCCGGAGATCGGGACGAATTCGTCCAGGTGACATTGTCCATGCCAAAATAATTGGTGCAGTTGTCGGTGTTCCAGGCATTGTCGCAGTTTGTCCACGGCAAGATGGTGGAGAAGGAAGAGTAGAAGTAGAAGAGGGCCCAGGCGATGATGGTGTTGTAGTAGAAGGAAACATATAAAGCGATGACGCAAATGGCATAACCTATGCCTAAGACACAAAGAAAGCAGTGCCCAATAATAGAAAACAAATATCCCAAAAAATGGATTTGTCGTCTCTGTAACAGTATTTTGGGTACCTTAATTTAACATACAAAAAGTGCAGATTTCTTTATACATATTGTTGCTCCAAATCTGGGATATATTCGACATACCTTTGAAAATGGGGCAGATATGTTTCCATATGGATATGGCTCCAGTTCTGTGGAACTGTCCCAGGGCCAGCTCCATATAAAAGAGCGGCACTCCGCCAAAGATGGCCATCAGAATATAAGGGATAAGGAAAGCTCCTGCACTCTCACATGCGCACACACATGCACACAAGCCAAAATTAAGATGCACAGTCCAACAAAGTATGGTATCATGGTTGTTTATATCGATAGAGTTTTGTAAAAGTGAGGATGTTTAAGAGGCTTGAATTTGAAGTAAAATTTTTGATTGTGATACCGTATCTGGTTTACATTTTTCGGCAATTAATTTCATTGCCAAGTGTGGTTTGGCTATCGTGGAATTAACAATCATTAAATCTTAATTAAATCATACCGTAATCGCAAATATAATTTATGAGAAAACCGAACTTCTTCTAAGGGCAACAAATGGCATCCTAATAATATTTACACATTTAACAATTGCATTTGCTTTGTTTAGAAAAGTTGTTTTTTTCACTCATCATATTTTAATCATACTATGTTTGTTTTTCTTTTTGACATGCTGGTCAGATGAAGTGTTATAAGCTTCTTAAATGCTGAATGAAATTAAAAGCAAACGTTTTTCTTGTATTCTACATGACGCAAAATAAATGTGTTTGATACACTATCATGGAAAGTATGTTTATTTTTCTCGTAACGAGCTACTTTCAGCACCATGGACAGTGGGTTTGCACGTTCAGGCGTTTTGTAGGTGATTCTGAAGATCTAAAATGACATGCAAATACTTAACATAAATGAATGATGATAGTAACGAAAAAAAACCTTACCGCCACCGTTCTGGTAACATATGTAAGGAAACCTCCAAACATTTCCCAAGTCCACAGCAAAACCCACGACAGACAAGAGAAAGTCCATCTTTTTGCTCCATTTGTCCCTTGAGTCCGTCTGCGTGAGGATCGGCACCGGCACCGCGTTGTTAGACGCGTAGCCGGGATTTGGGGAGCCGTGGTGGATCAGACTACCGGCCATGACCGCTGAGATCTGTTGGGCCACCGGACTGCGAAAAGTCAGTCAAAGGAGCAGCACGGTGAGGGGAGGGGCGGGGCGGTTTGACCTCGAGCGGTTACCGCGGGAGCTGTGGGCGGGGCCTGGATAAACACCTGTAAAACAGACATCAGAGTGGATCTGTGACATTACAATGATAATAGAAGAATTTTGTCATAGCCTACTGTATGTGCTGAAGTTCAGATTGATAAAAGTCACATGTGACTTTTAAAAGACAATTTTTAAAGCCAAATTAATTGAGTATGAGATCGGTGGGAATGATATACCATGCCACAACATTATGCAATACAATACAATACAATACAATACATGGTGATTTAAATATGAGCATTTGTACAATATTATGACATCACCCTGTCTATATTCATATTTCCACAAAGACCCTTTGTCGAATTTCACTAGTTGCTTGACTTATTCTGAATAATGTGTTATACTTGTACACAGTATTTGATGTCACCTCTTTCATTTTCGGGGAACCTTGTGTCAAACTTATTTCCTCCCTCTTAAACAGACGACAAGACAACAGGACGAAAACCACACGGCTCTTCCTGACTCTATTATTTGACTTCCTACCCACAGTCTGCAAAACCCCTGAACAGACATCACCTGCACAGAGGATAAAGAGTGTGATCCCCCTATATTAAGTATGAGTAAGTCAAAAGGGTGAACTATCATTCTGGAAGGCTTATCCAGAGGCAACATCCTCAATGTCGGTGCGATGTTGCAGAGGCATGTCAACCAGAAAAAAAAAGGTCACAATAAAGTTTTCCAGTTTGTACTAAAACAATTCTGTTACAACTACCTCTCTGCATGACAATATTTTGCATGCCCGCGCACACACAGTCCCGAAGAAAAATCACTAATATTGTAAGTGAGTCTGGTTGTGGTCAACAGTTATAAATAAATGCCAGTATACTAAAACAATAAACCAGGTTTGAGGCAAGCAAAGGCCAGCAAGAAGACTGCATTTTTGAAGTTTGATGCAGGGAAACTCTTAATGCTGTAGCACCTTGAGTCAACTGAACCGCCTGATCAAGCGTTAATATGGTTTAGAATAAAACCACAGAAGCTAAAATGCTCTCATTAAGAAAACCTGATAAATGATAAATCAAATCCATCGCTTTTAGCAGCGAGCTTATTGAAAAGCATGCACACCGGATATTCGGAGTGCTCACGTTGATCCGTGAGTGCAGAGTGCATCAAATGAAGTTAGTCTGGTAAATGGAGATGGCAGTGAGACACATACAGTGCCATTATTTATGTGTCACCTAATGGTCTAAATGTCTGGGTGTCCGGTTAGATATTGCGCCTATCATAAAACTACATGGACAAAAGCACCAAAGTACCCCCCTTCTGATCCCCATCCCCCTACCCATTTTGCAGCTATAATTACAGCCACTCTTCTGGCCAAACTTTTTTTTAAGATGCCGGAGTGTGTCCCTGGGACTTTTTGTCCATCCATCCAGAAGAACATATGTTTCAAGGTCAGAGATCATTGATTTGTAGTGAGGCAGTCTGGCTCACAATTTCAAGTCTAGATCCTCTCAAAGGTATTGGATATAGTTGGCTCATGTTCTTCTCCACCAAAATGCCTTCATGAGAACAATCAGCCAAGGGCAAGCTATGGCTGCTCAGCCGAGGTGTGCATTTCCTTGGGGCCTGAAAGCATCAAGACAACAGCCCACGTAGCTCTGGCCTTCTCTAGCATACCATTCTGTCAATCCGCATTGGCACACAGCAGTAGAAGAACATCGGACTGACAGGAGCCTCTATCGCCTGTTAGAGCACGTCGACTCCAATCACACGCGGACATGTGCATGTCAGCCATGCCCGCAGACTCTGCCGACAGGCGAACACACATGGAGATGACACGCCATTGTTGTTTCTCAAACGTACAGATTCGATGAAGCACTGAGCTATTTCCACTCGGTCCTTCGCCAAAATGGTGCCATGTTTCCATACAAGAGTTTGCAGATAAGTATTTTTCACCCTTGAAGTTGTCGGTATGATAATGAACCCAAATGCATGATGGGGTTGGGGGAGAGCTCTGGTGTGCAGTTTATTCGAGCAGAAGCCCTACTTTGACATTTAACAACGTGCTATTACCTCATGTCATTGTCAGGTGTGAGTCATTCCTGCAAGGGAATCCTAAGACAAACATGTTTGCGGGGAATATGAAAAGAAAAATAAAAGGAAAGAAATTGCGATATGCTGGGCTTTCCTCTATGGCTCCCTATTCCTCTCACTGATATGGGTTTTTGAGAGGTCTTTGGGATGGAATTGAGTGAAAGGATTGCAGGTTAGGATTCGGATGAGGACACTGTTTGGGCTGGCAAGTATCCATCTTGACATTCACATTCTCAGTTGGGTTTTGTTTTGTTCTGGTGCTGAGACCATGAAAGCATCTTTGGGGGGCATCCACCTCCTCAGTCTGTCATTCTGCATAATCACTGCATTCTTTTCGCCATCTGATCCACCTGACAGCTCAGTGCCTCCAAGGCAGAGTGGGACTCGTGGCCCTGAGACTCCACCGTCTGGAACATTGATGTCTATGCCCACTTCATGCTTGTAGGGTTACTCATTTGGAGAAATTTCATTTCATATTGCTGGAAATTAAACAGCCACATACTCAAATGTGTATGGTTGTGTACACATTGGGGGTACTGTATAAAGTTGATGAGCTACTCTTTTTAATCTTTTATTTTTTGAAATTATTTTTTCTGCAATTTAGGGGTTTGCATGCTCGCCTCTCAGTTCTTAGGTTCGTGGTTCGAATCTCAACTCCGGCCTTCCTCTTGTGGAGTTTGCATGTTGTCCCCATGCTTTTGTATGTTTTAAACCATGCATGCAGAATAACTGGAAGACTGAGTTTTACATACTTTATGTGTGAATCTGAGTGGTTTGTGTACACTACGTCTCACCCAAAGTCAGCTTAGACAGACTCCAGCTAAATGAGGATATGACAGACGGATATGTGATTTTGTGCAGCCACATGGGTAGCATGCTTAGCAAAAGTGTTTGATTTTATGTAGAACCATTTTACATTGTAACACAATGCACGTATGTACGTTAAAAAAAAAATCTGTAATTTTAACAAAAATGAAGAGCCATTACAGTACAGTATTTCATTTGTGCCTGTAGTTTGGCATATTCACCAAAAGAGGGCCTCGTAGCAAAACTTTTCTCATCCATTTTCGTTCTCGCCACAAAAGCAACTGAGAAGTCAATGATACTTTTTGGCTTTACGCAACTACTGTGTGATGCAGTGTAGTTCACTACTACTGAAACTGAATTATTGCTTGACAACTTCAATCAAATGTGAGCAGAGGGTAGTTGGTGTGGATCTCCGTTAGATTAAGTGGTCGGTGTTCATGCAAACGGCGCGATAGCTTTGCTATTCGTTGCACCCCAATTGTGATATTCACAGTTTAACTTATACCTCTCAAAGTTTAAGAGCTGCAGAGACATTGAAAAAAAGTTGTTAAAACTTACTTTAATGAATTCCAGCAGATGGGAAATGTGTATGGCCCACGCACTCTGTCCTAAAACATTTGTAGCCGTAATTTGTTACCGGTATTTTAAATAATTTTTTTTAAAGTAATCTAATATATACAGGTATATGTAAATGTTTTTGGTTTCCGTATCATTTATTTTACTTGACATTTCTAAAAGTATGTTTGCAAATAATCAGTTAACAATAGTTATTGAGTGGTTCCATTTTTAAAATAGTTTAATGTTGAACATATAGTTTCTAAATCTGTATTTAGAACAATATCCATCCATCCATCCATCCATCCATTTTCTGTTCAACTTATAGCAGCTGTCTTCAGTAGGCGGGGTACACCCTGAACTGGTTGCCAACCAATCGCAGGGCACACATAGACAAATAACCATTTGCGCTAACACTCACACCAAGGGACAATTTAGAGCAACAAACTCCTTTTTGTTGCGGGTTACAGTGTAGTAACCGTTTCCCTCGGAGGGCCATTATGACTATGAAACCATATAAAGAAGTCAAGAATAATCGTTTCTGCAACTACTTCAGTTACTCTAATGAGGGGTTTGGTAACATGAAAATGCTTACAAGATGTTATTTATTACATATGAGAATTTGAAATGTTGGTACAGATGTTAGGAAGCATCATGGAAGGTGACATGTTTGATTTTCTTTTGCGGGCAACATAAAATGATGCGGCGGGTCAGATTTGGCCCTAGGGCCTTGAGGTTGACACCTGTGATTTCGTGTTTCATTAACCTGCCATGCATGTATTTTTTGGAAAGTGGAAGGAAACCGGAGTACCTGGACAAACCCCATGCAGGCACAGGGAAAACTCCACACGGGAAGGCCGGAGCCGGATTCGAATACTGCACCTCTACACTGTGAGGCAGACGTGCTAACCAGTCGCCCACCGTGCCACCGAAATATAGACATATTCATATAAAATTTATTGATTATTAAAACATTAATGTGGTCCTTCAGCACCAAAGTTTGTCCACCCCTTGATCAAACAGAGAGGCTGGAAGGAGGATTGCCAAAATCTCGCCGTCCAATGGAAACTCCTTCCTGTACCTTTAAGAGGCGGGCCCATAGTGCTGGAGGCGGAGTAAGGAGGCATTTCTCCTTCTCGCAGTCTGTTTGATGGGAGGTGTTGCGCGTGCTGGAACACTGGACCCATGGCAACAATCATGGCAGGTGGGAGACCCGTATATGTCCACCATACATCGGTTGACAGAGTATATTGTACTTATAAAGCCTGAGTTGAGTTCGCTTTAAAATGGCATGTGCTTCTTTTGTGTCTAGAAGCCGAGGCGCGCCAAAGGCTGCTGCGCACTGTCAAGAAAGAGGTGGGTGTTTTCAGCTAGCTACAAAAACAAAACACTTTTTTGGAGGGGGTGACAAGTGAAACAGAATCCCTTTTGAGATTCCAAATCCCCAAAACACGGTTGCGCTCTGATTGTTTTTTTCTTATGTCGTCTCCGTGACACCTGTAAATGTCGTGTTGGATGTTCCTCCTTCAAATCTGGGAAAGTGCAGCGTTTTTTTTTCCGTCTTCCGGGGCAGTCCGAACTATCATACGTATGTGCGCGTGTGCCTGTGCGTGTGTGTGTGCGTGTGTGTTTGTGCTTGTGTGTGTGCGCGCGCGTATGTGTGATGAACAGTGGAAACAAAAATGGAAGGTACTCATGTCAGCTTTGTCTCTCAAATATTGCAACTCATCATGTCGCGTTACTGTGGTAACACATCACCAACTAGTTCGGCACCCGCTTATGCGGATCACCACCATGTTATTTTCAATATTTATTTTTCAGGATTTTTTTCTTTTCTTTTCAAATTTCGCCCCTCGTTTTTCATCAGAAGCGTACAGTGAATGTTTATCAGTTTTTGAAGGGTTAAGCTATCTGCCTGCGTCTGAAAATATGAAGATTAACACAACAACCGCTCCAACGGCAAGTTTCTCAGACAATGATGCGACGAATAAAACAGGACTGAATCAGTAATGCTCACTGAACTGAAGTCTCTAATGGTGATGATTTTTATGTCACAATATGTGTGTGAAGAATCCAAGAGTTGAGCTCTTTGGTGCTGGAAGCGTTTCAAGCAACAGTTCCATTATATGGGATTCACACATCCGAAACAACAATTAAATGCAAGCATTGCAAAATGCTCCTCTTGAAACCACATGGCAATCAATTTGTGATGTGCAAACGGAGTGATTAAAAACAATTATAGCGCTAGTAAACCAACATCATGGACACAAGAGCAATTCAGCACACTGTGAAATAAGATCAGCCAATATCTGCTTTAGGATGCCAAGAGATGCCTTCAATTGGTCAGACAGCTCTTTGGAATTGGAGGAAGATCCAAATTCATCTTTTTCCTCGAACATGACTGGGTTGTGTTGTTCATCGTAAGATGAAAATTCATCTGACTGAGCATTATTGTAGCTGGACACATTTGTTTTTGTGTGAGTGAATGCTTGTGACGTGTTTATTTTTAGTCATATTTTAATCTTGCACTTAAATCGGGGACCAGTAAACTATAACGAAAAAAATGGGAACCTGTCAACAATATATATTTTCCAAGTTACTTTCCCATTAGCACAGTTGCGTGAATGGATTTGCACCATTTATTTTAGGCAGGTGGGAAGATTGAAGCCGAAATGAATCACTGATGGGTACAAATGTTCAAGGTAGAACGAGTCCGTCGTCAAACGATTATGAATCACAAAATTGGAAATAGAGGATAAACACAAAGGCTGAATGTCTAAAGGTCTGCAGCAGATTGTTATTGTGGCTTTAGCCTGAGCTGGGAGCTTCCCACTGTTTGTTCTGCTTAGGAGCTTGTCTCGTAACACGGGCGCTCTTTTAATCACCTTGTTACCATGGAGATTCCCAACACACACTGAGGTCCTTATCTGGTAAAGAAAAAAAAATCAGAGGGAACAATTTTTACATTTTGTTGTACAGTCACAGAATAGTGAAAATGTTACCGTTTTGGTTTTGCTGTCTCGATTGCACTTGGCTGAGGGCTGTTTTATTTCTTACTTGCGTTTGCTCAGTAAATTCATTCATTCATTCATTCATTCATTATCCGAACCGCTTGATCCTCACTAGGGTCGCGGGGGTGCTGGAGCCTATCCCAGCTGTCTTCGGGCAGTAGGCGGGGGACTGCTCAGTAAATAAATGAACTTTATTTTCGACACATGTTTTAAGATTAAATCGAGGATGCTGTAAAAAGAGGAATGTTGAAAATGGAGTCTGACCACTTTCCACGTGAGTCCTCTTATCAGTGATAACCAGACCCTTTCCAAGATGAACTCCATACTCACTATACAAATGAACGACTGAACATAATATACACCCGCTCAATTCAATTAAAATCAAAACAAGAGCTGTGTGACAAAAACACACACATTGCGTTTATAACGAGAATAATGCTCAGTTATTTTTGACACTTCCAAAGAGGTATTCGATGGATACCACTCTTTGCTTATTGTGGTTGTGTTTGCTGTGGTGTACAACTGCAGAGCATTAAAATGAGAGCTTTCTCATAAGGAGAGGCATTTTAAAGAAAATGTCTGCGCTCCGAACTGATTCCAGTGTCAGAGAGCAGAATAATGCACTTCCCATCGCTGGCGAAACATTCCGCTTTTGGCTTCAAACTCGGGCTGCTGCAAAACGTGAAGTTTGCTATTATGGTACTAATATGCTATTGCACTACACTTAATCCAATTTTCTTTTCTTTTTTTTTTTTTTTTTTTGCTTGAGTTGTGAGCAAAAAGTTTGACCTTCATAAGAAGCAGTTTATTGCCACTCCCAAGTGAAGTTTACTGTAAAACTAAACATAAAGCAAAGAGAACCAAGCGTTGTGTGTACCTAACCAAAGTTCGCCGTCTTCATGTTAATGCAACACGCAAAACGCCATAGACGGGCTAACGAAACGCGCATCAACCTTTAAACAACTGCTCAATGATGTCCACACTGTATGTTTTTCGAAAGAACCCAACTGTGCCATTTTTCTTTTGTTTTTTGTATTAGCGAGGCTGCGAGCGATGAACGGAATTTCCATTCCACTCTATTCTCATTTAGTGACATGATTTAAGGCAGTGTTCGGAACTGCAGCCACAATTCCGCAACCGTTTTTTTTTTTTTTTTGATTAATGGATTAATCTCAGTCTCAATTAAAGCTGAGCACGATTCTCTTTCTAAAGACTGACTGTTTGTCACATGCATTGTGCTGTCTTTTTAATTAGCTGCGCGCGCGTCTTCTTGTTCTGTACACGTGTAGGCGTCACCATATGCACGTGGTCTTCGTCCACCCGGTGATATGCCATCAGTCCACTCAAATGCACTGTCAAATAACATGGGCCATTATCTCGAGAGCACAGGATGTCTGAGGCAGCACAATCCACTCCTGGCACAAAAATCGGTTTGAATGAGACCTCTTATTTGCCGCAGCTTTCATATATAACCATTCTGTGTCACCGGGTGTTTGTGTTCTGTTGTGTGCACAGACACAACACGGCGCGTCTGCTGCGAAAGGAAAGAGGCGAAAAGATGGAAGAATCGGTGAAGCGTGCTGATATCAGCACGTTTCGCTGTCTTCTGTTCAAAATGCTGTTAGTTAATCAGGAGTAGCTTGAAGACAATCAAACGATTGCACGGTTTCAGGTGGAAGCTTCTGCAGGGAAACAATCAAACGTTATTGTTGCCATGAATAGCGATGGCAGTTATTGCACTGAGGAAATGAAATGTATTCACGGTATTGGTTTGGTCTGAATGTGATCTGATCTGGCTGTACTGGGAGAATAACGAAGGTGGTGTTTTATAAAAGAACTGGGCTTAAATGTGTGCAGAATCAAAACTGAGTTACGAGCGGCTGCTGGTGCAATCTTTAGGGGAATGTTTGCTGTGATTCAAGATGCAGATGTGAATGATGGGAGCTTCTCTTTGAAATTAAACTGGGTCGAGGCCTCGTATATTCTGAAAAAGGAAAGAAATGTCAGGTCAAGACTGATGTTTGGCAAAGATTGCATTGTCAGCTATTCTCTGGCTGCGCTACGGTTGCATGGACTTGGAAAGTGGAATTCTGTCCACTCATTGCCTCATAACATTATACTGTCTACTAAAGTAATAATTATTACTCTATTATCACGTCGATATGGTATTTCATTATGATGGACATCAGCATTAGGGAAGGGCATTTCACAACATTTCACTGATCAATCAAAAGTTACTTACCCATAAATTCCTTCACGTTTTTTTTGTGGGGGGTTGCGGGGGTGGGGGGCGTCAAAGAATCTCTAGGGCCGTTCGGGACTCAGCGGCACAGTGGAATACTGGTTCGCGCGTTGGCCTCACAATGCAGAGGTACCGGGTTCGATTCCAGTATGGAGTTTGCATTTTGTCCCCATGCCTGTGTGGGTTTTTTCCGGGTACTCTGGTTTGATCACATATTCCAAAAACATGCATGGCAGATTATCGGAACACTCTAAATTGTCCCTCGGTGTGAGTGTGAACGCGAATGGTTATTTGTCTATGTGTGCCCTGCCATTGGCTGGCAACTGGTTCAGGGTGTCCCCCGCCTACTGCCCGAAGACAGCTGGGATAGGCTCTGGTACACGCCGCAACCCTTGTGAGAATAAGCGGATTAGAAAGTAGGTAGATGGATGTTCGGGACTCTTTTTCCAATGGCGGTATAATATAGAACAGCGTAATGCACATTCCAGAGTTGACATCATGTTCATCTTCAGGCCGCAAACGACGGAGGACTGATTCAACAGCGTGTCTTCTTGTGGTAGCCAATTACATACCCTCCAATTTACTTCAATTTCCTCAAGATAAGATGAATCAACAATCGATTCCACACAATTGAAAGATTAGTTCACCGACTCATCGATTATTGTACCCATCGTCAGTTTTAATGAACAGCAGGGATGTGTCCTCTCCTCTTATTCAGCAGTGTGGAGGCCTGTGGTGGCCACCTAGACAATTAATAATGAAGATATTATGTTAATAGATGAACCTTCTGCTTTCTCGGCTCTGCTATTGCAGGAGTGAATTGGAATAGGCCGAAAATCCTTTATCACTCTGAGTGATGCCTTCCGGGTTCTCTGCATCGAGGAGCCTCATTTTACCAGGCCGCCGAAACACACATTCATCAAACTGTCACAGCTACGGCTACGTTTACACGTTTTTCCCGGCAGTCATGGCAGCTCCGTTTGCCCCAAATGTAGAGTGCGTGGGATTTTGCCCATTTTTTTTTTTTTTTTTTTCGCATTCATGTCTTGCAGCTTCTGCTTACAGTCAACCATGG